TTAGGTTAACATTCTTGGATCATGCGCATAGACCGAAAACCAGGCAGCCAAAAAGCGCAACTCACAACTGGGGCCCAAATCTCCAGCATGGGAACCCTTATTGTCGTTGAAAATGGTCACCGCGCAATCCGTTGCCCGAAGCCTTGCCGCACATGCTCGTTGCCAGCTTCACGTAGCCTTTGCACCTGAGAATCAAAGACACCCCTTGCAACATTCAAAAAAAACTCCCCCCCCCCCCCCCCAAACGGCCCCAAGTTCTCTTGCCTCTTGAATCTCATCCTCTCTCAAAACCACTGCACTAGCCAATCCCGGGGCGTGATCTGTCTGCCCCTTTTCGCTATGGGTCTTGACTGGGAGCACCTTTCAAATGGCTGGTGGACACATATCCATGCCCCCCGGGTGACAGAGGCGCCCAGGATGCGAATCGCTGTATGGTTTCGCACGGTTTCAGAACTCGTTTCACTTGAGCTCGCACCGTGTTTCTTGGCGCTGCAGCAGGCTCTCTTCACTACGTTCCTGCGCCAGTTGATGGTGTGGAACACTTGATTCATCTCATTCTTGAAGCCCCAGCACTCCCCGAAGCAGGCTGGTTGCCTGCAGGAAGCTGGTCCCTCTGGGCAAGTTCTCGCCGTGCGCCGGCTCCTTGGATGTCGCCAGCTGCCACCGCTCCGACTTCTGCCGCGCGGTCAGGTTCTTCACGCTTGAAGGCGCAAGGGCTTTACCACCTTCCGCGCGAAGGGCTTTCCAAAGCCCATGTGCCGTAAACTGGTTTGTGGGGGCAACCATCACTGGCACCCTCCCTCTCCATCGCCTTGGAACAGGCTTGCCGGCGTGGCTATTCGTCTGAGTTCCGCTTGCCGTGCTCTGATTCTCGAGGTCTCCACGCGCAACGAGGCGTGACTTGTACTCCAGTCAACCTCGGCTGACCCGGGTTGCCCGTCAAGGCCCGCCGCGTCGATCCCGGTCCAGAAGACCACTCCTTGCTGCGCGATCGAAGGGTCTTCGACTGTGTCTTTGCAAATCGCTTTCTAGTCTCCCCTTGGGCCTGGCCGCAGTCTCTGGCGATCTTGCCATGTTCACAACAAACCACATCCTACACATTGGGGACAAGGAGGCCACATACGGATCAACTCCTCGTGCTCTTCGCGCAGCTTCGCTCCACGTCTGTAGCAATGTCGATGGCCGCCGACACCTGTAGACCAAGAACCAAAACAGTCCATAGCAATCGTTGACAGGACCGCTGCTTTGGCAAAGGGCTCCATTAGAAGGCGCCAAATCTCGGAATAGGGCCGTCCAAGATTCCGCCGTCGCTGGCCTACGCCTCAGAGCCGATGCCCCGCTACCAATCTCAGATTCATAAAGGCGCGCAGTGTTTTCATGCTCAAGCCACGAGGCACAGTGTGGTTGCCATGTGTCTGGCCGCATTGCCATGTACGAACCATCAGTTTCACACCTTGTCATCATAGGACCCCCCCCCAAACACACCTTCAACAAATTGTGCACTTGTTGTCTTGCCCAAGGGTGATGGAACTGATCAAAATACACGCCAAAAAAGGGGAACCCTTTTTTTGGGATGGTTCGAAAGGAAACTGAAAACAAATTGATCACAGCAGGCGTCCCTGGTTCTGAGGGAAACCACTGCCATCTGCAGTAAGGATCTTGCGGTTGATTTTGAACAACCCAGGCCTCCACCATACAGCACAAAACCCTCCACCAGTTGGAACGGTTCAAGCCCTATGAATACTGGTTGGCAAACCTATTGGCCATATGTCTCTCTCCATAGGAACAGCCACCCGCCTGCTGCAGCAGGGACTCATCCTGGCGAAAAGCCCCCAGCTGCTCCAGCACCTATCAAGCCGTCGCGATCGCTTTTATCTCGGCTTCGGGTCGTGGAAGCATTGAGCGGCGGGTGTCAACGCTGGGCCTCACATGTCTGTATGCACATAACGATATACAGCTATAAATCTAGAGGGTGTAACGCTGTGGAGGCCCTTGTTTTTTCCAGTGTTTTTGCTTGTGTTTACTGTTTGTTCTTTTCTCTGATTTTTTCTTTCGGAGGGGGCGAAAAAAGAGAGAAAACCCCTCCAGGAGTGAGAAAAGGGACCTAGGTGTGATAGAGTAGCCACTGGGACAGTGAGAAAAGGGACCTGGGGTGTGACAGGGTAGATACTTGGAAGTGTTCATAGCAAAGTAGCATATGTCTTATTTCATATGTTGCTTCTATTAATGATATTGTGTACTCGTTATAAGGATAAACAGACATACACTAATGTTAGAAGTCCGATCTCACGCAATACAATCCTACTCTGTAGTCAAACAACAACTGGTTTAATCTGCCCGCTTGCGAATGCTATACATGAGACTCAGAACAACATGTGACTCAATGCCGCAAGCTCGTCTACGATGAAGATGTCGTCCGTCACGTCCGCAGATGGGTCGGGAAGGTGGACCCTAGCAGCGGGGGCTCCATTCATGAGCCTCACGATGTTTGCGCACCACGTAGTTATGAAGAGGAACCCGATCTCCACTGTCGTCACAGATCCGCACGAGGCGAAAGATTTGACAGCATCGACGCACCTCTCGTTCCCATACGCTTTTGAAAGTAGATCTTTTCCATTTCTTCCTCGTACTCCTGTAAGACCTCATCAAGGAGAATTCGGCGTCGGAAGACTCTAGCTTGGCAAGGAGCTGGACCAGCCATCAAAGAAAACCAGGGATCTCTTACTAGAATTTGTGCAATATGCTGTTTCAAGGACCGGACATGCGTTGGTTCATGAACGTGAGCGAGCAGATTAAACCAGTTGTTGTTTGACTACAGAGTGGGATTGTATTGCGTGAGATCGGACTTCTAACATTAGCTTATATTTGTTTATCCTTATAACGAGTACAAAATGTCATTAATAGAAGGAACATATGAAATAAGACATATGCTACTTTGCTATGAACACTTCCAAGCATCTACTCTGTCACACCCTAGGTCCCTTTTCTCACTCTTGGGCTCGGGGGGGGGGGGGCCCTGCTCTGAAACAAATTCAACTACAAACATGCTTGGTCAAAAAACACATGAAACAGAACAACTGTGGAAAAACAGGGGCCTCCACAGCGTGACCTTCTGCAAATCTCTATATACATATATTGTTCTACAATTACTTGCGCTCTCCCATACCTATACCATTTACACATCATTTCTCTTCCGCGGCGCAATATCACACGTTGCTTTGGAAGCTGATGGGCTCATCCCGAAGCCTCACCCAGATCGAGGGCACTTCATAGAAGAAAGTTCACCCCGAAGTAAATTCTAGTTGCTTATATGTTTGCAAGACATGACATAAAATAGTAGTTCAACAGCTTAAACCAAGGCACCCCAACAGGAAAAAGTAACCTTCATCCTGGGTGAGGTCGCTATTTTGTGCTTGTAATGTTACCAGATTTTAGCGAGGTCACACACAGAAGCCCTGCAACTCATCCCCCAGTCGAAAACCCAAGCGCGCCCTGTTCTGCAAACAACTTCCCCGCACTGAGTCTGAAAAGCTTACGCCAGCATTGGATCCAATGGCCACCTTGAGCCAAGCCTCTCACAGCAAGCCAAACATCGAGGGCACTTAAGGTTCCAACTGAAGCAACCGAACCAACCACCACAGTGCCCTCGCCAAGATTGAGGGATTGGAAAAGTCACCGATGGCCTAAGTTGTGTTAGGAAATCCTGCACAGGAAGCAAACAAATCAATGTTATGCAGGAGCCATGGTTAGCTTACAGCTAACTAAACATATTTCATGGTAACGAGAAGCAAACAAACATGCTTCACGCACAGGTTGCGCAAGCGCCTACAAGCCGAGAAGCTACCAAGGCACTTATCGCCCGAACTGGAAGACAAGCTCTCCAAAAAGAAAGCGCAGCCTGCTTGCTATGCTTGCGTGACTAAACCTCAGGCAGGCCCATGACCTGGCCCGCGGTTTCCGTGCGCAACGGCATTTTGGCCTTTTGTACCGCTCTCTCACTGCGCCGGCGAAACCAGCTTCAAATCAGCGTTCAAATCCCGGATCCCCCCAACAAGGTACCCTCGGGATGGATCATCCGACTTGGTGATTTTCGAGGCTTTGGCGACTCGGAAGCGCACCAGGGTGAAAGTGGCTGGCACTATTCCCTGTGTGTCCGGACGAAAAGGGGATGATGAAACCAAACAAATGATATTGTCCCACAACTGTAGCTAACATTGGCAGCGCGAACCCAAGGGAGTACTTTGGGATGTATCTTTGCTGCATCACGCGGGAGGCACTAAGCTGTGAAGAGACAACCTCAGGCCGGCCTGGCACCTGCATGTGAAGACAAATGTTTCGGCCCATGCATTGAGGTTTTCAATGACCGACGAAAATATGCAACATGAGGTGGAAACAGGCAGACATTTGCTGCTGGGCTGCTCGCCAGGACGTGTTCGCTGGTCCCTGGCACCCTGCTCAACTCCTGAATGTCAAAGCTGTGGCCAAAAAACACCGTTACAAGTACTTGATTGTAAAGTACCGCGTGTTCTCAGGGAGTCTGTGGATCGACCTTTGTTTCGAATCGATCTCAGCCTGAGTATGCTCCAAATCCGATATGAAGCGGCTCGAACCGCGGGGAGAAAAAAAACCGTGCACACAGCTATGCTGCTTTCTGGGGTCCGACTTCCGACGGCCATGAGCGGCCCAGTTCCATGCACCTCCCCCTGGCGAATCCGGGAATCCGGAAAAATTGAGGAGCCACGTGGCAGAGCGATTTCACCCACGGCCCTGGCTTCGCCAATTTCTCTCGAAATGGAATGAGCCTGCCTCACTCTGACTGCAGAGTCGCGCTCGGAAGCTCCCAAGCAAGACCGGAGATCAAGGCTATCGTCTGATCGGAGCTCTGATCCCATTTTCAAAAGTTCACTGACTTGCAGTGAGGATAGTAAGGCAGTTGCCACACATTATTGATCTAGCCTTTGGCTAACACATGCCGTTTAAACATGAATGGGGTTCTCTCTCAGTGGGCAAAATATAGCCGCAAGTCAGGACCGCCAGAAGTGCTCACTTCGCATTTGTTGCAAGTGAACACTATTAGTGCATGAGCGCGTGAAAGGCGTGGTTTCTCGCACCAGTTGCAGACGGCGAGACCTGAGAAATCGTCATTCCAGCAAGTCTTTTCGGCTCAACGATCAGAAGTGCCACGAAATCCGTATCAGACTATTCCTGATCGAATTGGCCGAAATTGCGCTGTGCAACTTGCTGCTTCTGGGCTTGCTTGTATCTTCTCCGTTGGGCCTTGTACCTCCTTCGCTCCTCCTTGGCACTATCCCTGGTGCAGAAATGGCAGAACTTGCAGCTACTCGCCTTGCGACACCCTGCCATCCTGAGTTGGAAGAATCTGCAGGGTTTGCAAGAGCCGTTCAGGTGAGCTTCCTGCGAGTTGTAAGTCCGGGCACTGGCACCGGGGTGCTCCTCCTCAGTGTAATCCCCACTGGGGCTGGAGCTCGTCTGGTTCTCAGACTGGGACTCATCACGGAAGGCTTGGGCTAAACAAGCCTCCCACGTTGACCCATCGGCTCCCGTGGCATACTGCAGGGTCCCGGAAGCAGAAGGGTGGAGCTCCGATGTGAAGGTGTTGAGAAGGCTCCCAGGTTCCAACGCCTCACCAGTCCTCTCAGCACTTGTGCTTGCGCAGGGATATGATTGCGAGGCATCGGCGACAACTCTTTGCCCGAGGCTCTGGCAGACGGGGCCGCTCGGAATTGCAGGAGCTTCCCGCGTCGGTGACCCCACGTCTGCCTGCCGCATGAGAAGATACTGGTTGGCTGAAACTGCCACGAGCGAGTCAGATTCATCTGGCTCAACAAAAACAATGTGTTGGTGAAACATCCCCGCGATGCAAGAATATAACTTTCACTTGGCAAGAAACGGCCACGGGTTGCCTGCATCACTGCACTGGCTTTTTGCACATGGCAGACATCAGAATCCTAGAGCTCCAAGCCTCTCCAAGCCTCCGTCGCCTTGCCATTCAAGGCTCAGCCACTGGCCACCAAGCAATCCTTCCCAGCCCCCCATCCTCACAGGGATTCAAAAAGGTTTGAAGGCTGGCCCCACGCTACGGGAAAACAAGCGCCGGAAGCTGGCAAGCCCTCCTTTGCCAATCTGGCACCCCGCGGGATCCCAGGGCCCGACAAAACCCCCAACACTCCGCGATCGCCAAGAAACGCGAAAACGTCGGTCGCTCATCCGGCTTTGGGAAGGGGGGCCTGAGTCTTCAATCCAAATGTTCTCTGGAGGTTTCCAGGTCTCGACAGCTGAAAGCTGAATTTGACATTAAGAACCTTAGGTTGAGATTCTGGCCCATACTCGCCGAACCCTGAAACCTGAATATCAAAACAGATCCCAGCGATATGAGTAAAAAAGAAAGTCAAGTACCGGTAGACATTCAGCCCTGAGTTGGGAAAAGGAACCCTAACCCACTTGCCCCAACTAGAATACACAAATGTTTTATAGATCCTGACTCATACTTAAAGCAGCAACCCCCCCAGCCCCCAAACCCCCAACCGCAACCCAATCCCAGCAAACCCTTCCCCAGACCCCCAATCCCCACGGCACAAAGTCAAACACTTCAAATAGTCCAAAAGGGGCACCCCCGCTTTTTGGCAGTTGATTCCCAAGTTTGGAATCCTCAACAAAAATTGGAAGGCATGCCACACAGGCGGCTCCGCTACACTCTGCGCCTCTTGGCTTTCTGCCGCGGATCGCGCCAGAACGGCGCTGCCCTCACCCAGCAAACCCTCCTGGCGCCAAAAAAAACGATTGGCTTTAGGTTTTGGAGGGGTGCGTTTCTGCTGGCTTCTTGCGGAGGGAACCCACCTGGCTTCTGCCAAGGGAAACCTCCGGCTCGTTTGCCCCCTAGATAAAAAGGCGGCCACCGGCTTGCCGTGATCCTGTTTGCTTCTTTGGCTACTTGGCATAGAAGCATGATCTCACTCAATTCGAGAAAGAAAAAAAAGAAGAAGAAAAAAAAAAAACGGCCACAAGCAAAAGCCATGGAAAGCCGTTCCACAACAAGCCCTTTACGTGCATCCCCAGCCCCACCTGCTGCCGGAACCACTCAGTCGCTCCTTGAGGGCGCCCTCGGCCTCTGAGACGCGGCCCAGCTCCAAAAGCCTGAGGGCCCCTTCGACCCGTGACTTCCAACTGCAACAAACTTGCAACAAACAAACTGCAACAAACTGAGCCGCCAACTGCACAAACTTCATTTGTTTCAAGGAACAACTGTACATCATTGCACATCCGGAGTCTGCATGATAGTCTGCCCTCGGGGGGGGGGGATGGCGGGGGGAACTGACAAGATACCTGGTTGCAACTTAACCATGTTGTGAACCACCATGAGACTGTCTGGATGTCAAAATTGTAACAGGACAGGGGACACAACTTATGAAGCCAAAGACAAAAGAAACAGTGTCAACAACAGAAAAACAAGATTGCAAAAAACAGGCCCTCCAGGCAGGCGTGCAGGACACTTTTGCGTCCCACTTCGAATTTGCAGCGGAGTAACTTTGGAGTACTAACCCAGGATTCGCTGCGACCCCGTGAATTTGATCGGGGGCGTGCCGGTTTAGTGGCCCCCCTCACGTTTGGGGAAACAGCTCCCAAGTGATCCGGTCTTGAGGGAAAAGACCAAAGGCCGACCCACCACCCCACCACCCAGGAAAGGCTCTGACGGCAACTCATTAAACTTCGGCTTGGTAAAATTTGGTTGGGGGGGTACGGAGTCTTTTGCTCGCGTCTGTTTCTGCTGGAACACACAGCTTTCACCCGTTTGTTCAAATTGTGCCGAGCATCATTTGCGCTCGTTTTGCGGGAGTTGCTGCACACAATTTCTGCTCGAGTAGGCTATATATTAGGACCCGGCCCCATGCCTCCAAAAACTGCTCGAGGTCCAAAAAAGGAGGAAAAGCTGGTACGAAATCCAGCTAACCAGCGAATTGACGCAGGAGGCAGAAATGTCAGGTACGTTGGCAGCTCAGGATGCTGGGAAAGTGGACAAGTCCTTGCTGAGATTCTCAGAAAGGAATGGTATTGACGCATTTGGAGTCAAACTAGTCACGCTAGGAATTCACCCGAATCTTGACATTAGATGGGCCGACACGATGCCCCCCCACCCCCACCCCGCCGAATCAAATGGGTCCGAATTGATTCTTGTGGGTTTGAACTTGTCAGAATAGATGCAGGTGGTCTTTGGAATATGCCCATCCCTTGCATCAACACAGATGTCCAAGCACTTCGCCATATGTCAACATTTTGGAGCTTCGCCGTACATTCACAAAGTGAGCAAGTGGTCGGTCATCCAAGTTCTTTCTGTCTTAAGGTCATCAAGCTTTTGCGGATCAAAGGAGATACCATGGAGATACCCAAAAGGGCCCTTAACCTTCCGGGCGAATCAAAAAAATCCTCTTTTCGCCCGCCGCCCTGACCACAGAACCCTGCAGCACAGGCCCACTTTGATGTTTCGGGCTTGGCGTGGCGAATGCTATCTGTCAAATTGCTTTTCACTGAGGCACGTGTGAAACTTACGTGCTGGCTCCGGGCTTGGCTAGGCGGCTATAATATTCTCATGTGGATCGTTGCCTGCGGAATTTAATCAACAGTCATCCAAGTACTTGGCTTCGGTAGATGACGAGAACAAGAAGCACTCGTAACTCGTAACCCTCAATTAACCAACCGTCAACCCAGCCAAACAAGAATGCGTGCTGCGGAACTCATAGCCCTCTTCTCCTTCCCCCGCCCGAGGGCCCGACAGGGCAGGGGCCATGACGTGTTCTAAGCATTGCACCCGTCCACATTGAACCCGGAGGAAGCCCCCAAAAGGCCTAAAGGCCGCACCAGAAGCCCTGGACCCTCCAAGCGAACCGAGGGGCGCGAGGCCCTTCTGCAACATGGCCTCCAGGCATCCAGGCTCCTGGCGGAGTCGGAAAACCCGATCTGGCTGGGCCAGGACGCGAAGCCCGCGTTGCAATCTTTGGCCGAATCCTTTTGTGTTTGGGGTGCCCGGAACCAAGCCAGCCATCGGTTCTGCTCAGGAACCTCTTTTTTGTGGCTGAAGGACAAACCCAGAGAGTGAGGCAATAGGACATCTCCTTGTTTGGAGAAAGGGGGTTCATAAGACCGGTTGTCTCCTTTTGTTTGGGGGGGAGGGGTTTACATGTCGAGGGGGACCGACTGAAGAAGGCAAAATTGAACAACTCCAAAGCGCCCAACCCGGCCCTTGGAAACAACTAATACCTTTTCAAGTACTGTCCAATCATGCGGGGACGTTGTGGAGAGCACGGGTCCGCATTGAAGCTGCCTTCCAATTTTCCGCTCACTTTTGCCATTCTTGTGCTGCGGAAGGGCGGCTGTGTGCGAGGGCCCATTGCCAGAGGCGCGGGTCCCGGTAGATCAGGTCGTAACCTCAGGGTGCGAGCTCTCGCACCGAAACGCTTCCTTTGGACCACGAGGCAGCCAGGCACCCACTATGCGACCTGTTTGCTGGCTTATTCGTTCCTTGCTGACTAGCTGGCTTGCTGTCTGCATGCATTTGGTTTGGATTGTGTCAAAATGTCATTCGCTAGCTAGCACATGCCACTGAGGCTGTCTTGGTCTCAGTCTACGCTCGTGGAGATTCCACCACAGGAGTCAACGCAAAGTTCTTCTGATGTCTTTGTCTTTGGGCCTTCATGCAAAATCCTCGAAAGTTCCCATGGACACCTGCGTTCTTCCGATTCAAAGCCAGGTCTTGCCAAAGGACCTGCAACAAGAACTTTCGTGGAAATTGCAAAACAGTTGGGTGTGCCTTCCTTGAGCGTATATGCGACGCACGCGCGAAAGCCAAGAAAAAACAAACTTGAAGACGGGAGAAGTGAGGTATGGAAGCGGGCGTGAACCGTGGCCCGGTGCCAAACTCGGCGCATGCGCGCAAGTCAGCTCTGCGACGCCTGACGGAGGTGATCTTGGAGCGGCACTAGGGCGCGCTTGCCATGAGAGGTAGTGAGGCAGAGACAGAGAGACAAGACGCAGACACACAGAGACGGCGAGACAGAGAGGCAGAAAGACAGAGAACTAAAGAGAGACGGAGAGATATGAGAGACACACAGACATAGAGACAGAGAGACACAGAGAGACACAGAGTCAAAGACAAAGAGGGGGAAAGGGGAGAGGGAGAGAGAGAGAGAGAAGAAAAAACCATGAAAAAGCAGCACACAATAGTTGAAACTTCCGCCCCACTGCTCTGCCGGACTTTGCTGATACTTCAGTGGAAGGGGCGAGCAAAGTGAAGAGGATCAGTGGCCGGTACATCATGGAAGCAAAGGCCCAGTTGCTTCGACTTTGCTTGACCATTCAGACAAACAAGGCTTGCCTCTTCAATAGTGTTTACCGTTTGGGTTGGGGCAGGCGGGGCACCTGTGCAAGTGAAAAGCTACAGGCTAAAGGGGGACACATACATTTACACACACACACAACTGCACATCGCAGCCACCATCATAAGCACGAACCAAAATCCTGTAGCGAAAGAAAGAGAATCCCTGAAGTGAGTCGCTGCTAACTTTGAATCCGCTGTTTTTTTTCTCATGCTTTTGGAGCCGCCCAGCCCCGAAGAAGCAAACTCCCCTTTTGTTTCCTTCAGGATCTCAAGGTTGTTCTGTGCCTGCTCAAAATTCAGCGCAGTCCCCCAGTAGCCATGGGGATGAAAACGGACGCCCTTTTTTGGCGTGGTCATTTTTGTCCATTCAAGGGAGCAAAAAAATATTAAAAAAAAAAGGCACCGCTGGGTCGACAACACCCCCTGGCCGCGCCAGGCAGCTTCCGTGGCCCACCATGTCGCGGTACAGCGGGTCCGGGGGTGGCGGGGCCTTCCTGCGCGGCGCGGTCCCGCACGAGCGCTGAGCGGGGCAACCAGTTTTCACCCGGGCGCGCGGATGCGAAAACCGGGCCCTGTTGAAGTCGGCTAAACTGAAATGAAGATGGCTAAATCGGGCGTCTGGCTAAATTGGGGCGGCTGGTTGCAACACAACATGTGGCCAAACAACTAGAAGATAACCATTAAAAGCAGGAGGCTGCTGAAACTTTAAGAATTGGTGCTGAAACGTGCAAGGGCACCCAGGGTCAGTATAGAAACCCAAACGCCTGCCAAAAACAAGTAACAGCGCGTTCGCTCCGAGCTGAAAGCTCCATGCTTAAGACTCAACAACATTGTCCAACTCAGACCAGAAAAGGCTATATCAAAGGAACCTACCCCCTTCCCCTGACATGGTGCCAAACTTGCGGGAGGAAGGGTGATTAGCTTGCAATGTGCTCATTTGCTCATTTGCTCGCCCAAAAGGCCAGCCAGTTGTGAGCCAATTGTGGCGATTGCCCCCTGCGCCAACGACATGCTTGCTGGCTAGCACGAACACGCGCACACACACACACACACACTGCTTCAGGTAAATTAATCATCAAACCAAACATACTCAACTTCAGATACTTCAGATGAATCCGGCCGTAATTCCATGGCCTTGCGAATTACTGTCGACCAGTGCTTCAAAGAGGGGTCCCCCAAAAAGAAGTTCCACAAATGATAGACTTATCAGGGGTGGCTCCCTATTTAGCGAGGACTACGGGGGTTCCTCTGATTAGTGTGGCTCGTCGGCTCAATCCTGAAACCACCCACACTACGACCGAGGTTTGTGCTTTCTTGAGGGTCCCTCTCTTGGTGTTGGTTTAAAGGGACAGGAAACGAACCATTAATTTCGCGGTCCCATTGTGACCCCCCGCATTCCGCGCTCGGAATCCGAGGCGCGTGTACCGCGTGTACCGCGTGGCTCCACTCCGCCGCCGCTTCAGCGCCTTCACCACCTCGTCGCTGCCCATCTCGCCGTCCCCTGCGCGGAGGCTCGGGCCAGCGGCGAATCCCGGGCAGAGGGGCCCGACATGGCAAAACCCGCAGACTTGGCGAGGCCAAAATGGATATGTGCCAAAATAGGGGCACCCCAAAAACGGGCGGCCTTTTGAATTGCCCTTTCAAAACGCACCCAGAGGGTGGACCGGGTATCAACAAATATTACCAGCATAGGCCCCGAATCGCATGGGAGATTTCAACAGCACCCTGACCATAACCCTGGCTGCATCGCCAAACAAGCAGGGACAGCGACCACACCACCTTAAGGACACCAAGCAGCACATGCACCCTGCCTGCACACCACCAGTAGCCAGCACACCTTGAGCACATCAAAAAGCACCCTCACCCCAAAAGCAACCTGAGCGGGACCCTGACCCGTGTCCCCAAACAAGTACTGCCAGACCATCATACTACCTTCGCGCCAAACAGCCAGCACCCACAACGATACCCTGCCTGTATCGCCAAACAGGCACCACCAGCAACTCCCAACGCGCCTTGAGCACATCAAAAATCACCCTCCCCCAAACAGCACCCAGACCAGCACCTGGCTGTGTCGAATAAACGGGCACTGCCAGCAACTGGGTCACACACACCTTGAGCAAACCTTACAGCACCTTGACCAGCACCCTGTCGCAAAACAGGCACTGCCACAGCGCTGCTGTTTGTGCGCTCAAGGCGCTGCAGCCAGAGTGCTGGTCAGGGTGCTGGTCAGGGGTGGTGGCGAGCTTGTTTGGCACTGCAATCAAGTTGGTCCTGGCAGGGCGCGGGGTTCTGCTTGTGTGCTTGGCGCTGCAGTCAGGGTGCTGGTCAGGGTGCTGGTCAGGGTGCTGGTCAGGGTGCTGGTCAGTTTGCAGTTTCTGCGCTTGAGGTGCTGCTGGTCAGGGATGCTGTCAGCGTGCTGTTGCCGTTTTTGTGCTTTAGGTGCTGTCCCGCAAATATCTTTAGCTGTTGGGGCTCTTACTTCTAAAGAGCAGGCTGTTTCGCGAGCTCGGACCAGCTTGGTGCTGCAGGTGCTGGTCAGGTTGCTGTTTGGGGTGTGCTCAAGACGGCCCGATTTCGCTGCACAAGCCCGCCGCTTTACAAGTAAGAACCCGTATAGGCAAAGCTATCTGGGGGAAAACGCACACTCACACACCTCCCATAACCAGACGGGCTACCCCCATTTAAGTCCCGAGCGCGCTGCGCTTGCACATTCATTGCAGGTTGCATTTGTTTTATTCACCGGGGGGGGCATGTGACATCTACTGTCGCTCGCAGCTGCGGATGCTACTCAGTTGCGCCCCGACCGCCAAAGCATGTACTGTTGGCGCCTGGCAGGCAAAAAGAAGTCACTGCTTTGTTGGCCGTCTGGGGGCTGCAGGCCAGTGTCCTGTCACCAACAAAGACAGAAGTTTACAGGTCCGGGAAGACCCCTTTTTGGAACAATAGGCACGCGCACTTCTTCCATGCCAGTGTGGAAGAGGGAGGGCACCCTTTTTCTAATCATGGAATGGACAAGAATCATCGCTTCAAGCAGGCTGCCAGTCGTGCAAACCTGTTTCGCTGGTTGCTGCACAGAGCCCTCCATTTGGACGGCGTTGCCAACTGGTGCAGGTCAAACAAAATGATCACAGCCTTTGAGTCCCAAGCTTGTTCAAGTATCGCGGGAACAGAATGTCAAAAAGAACTTGCGGGTAAGGAACGGGAATGGCTCCTTCTGTCAACGAAATCACGGTGGACTGGGAATACATGTGAGATGGCCTCAGGGCCCAGAGCACTACATGGGTGGTCAAACAACATAGGAAGATGTGCAAAAATACATCTCAAAACACCCAACCATTCCGAGAGCAAATGTTGCTTGTCACCTCTAAGCCCTTCAAAAGTGGCACCGGGCAACCCCCCCCCCCCCTCGGGCGGAGCCTGTCCATCCAATGACCCAAATAGGAAGGCCTTCCTTGGATACTCTCTTGGAGCAAGGCATGAACTCGCTGCAGGGTGCTCTTTTCGCCGCCTTTTTCGGGGCGAGCGCCGTTGTTCGATCTATTCATTCAGTTCAATAATTCTTCCAGTTGCCAATTGAAATCGCAGATTCAAGTGGAACCCAAGAACCTCCGCAGTGGGAACGCACACCCCGCTGGCTGCCCAACCTGTGAAGAACCCTCCGCCACGGGAAGGCAGCACTTGAACACACCAGAAAAGGAGCCATGGAATCATCCCCTTGATCCTGACCTTCCTGTGACGATGGACCCAGTTACCCAATGGCCGCCGTAAACAAGAAGCCCTTTTTTCGGGGTTGCCTGTTTTTGGGGTGGGCCATTCCCCATTGCCTGAAGTCACGAGGGTTTGCTGGTTGCTCCTATCACCCACTGGCATTTAAACATTCAATGGCTTAGAATGAAATCCCGTCAGACCCGGGCCAAGAATCCAATCTCTCCGCCACAGCCGGGGAGGTGGGCGCGCACACAACGCTCACCTTGGAACCAAAGGCAGGCATAGCTTGCAAGAAACGGAGGGAGGGTAACGTCGCTTGGCGAAGCATTTCATCAAGGACTTGCGGTTGCAAAACCGCTGCAACTCATCCCTTGTCATTGTACGTGACTGCTCCCTTTCATGAGTGGATCTGCTAGCAGGGGTCATCAGCAAACAAAGCACTTTGGCCGCGCCCCCAAAACAATGAAATATGAAAGGTTGAATTGGCAGCTACTTTGGCACGCCAGCCAATGCAAGTAGCCCAGCCATTGCCCAGAACAGAACAAACCCAACAGCAGCCTCCACCAAAGGCTGTTCTTTTCGTGCATCCCTCTGGACAGAAGGCAAGGACAGTGGAGTGATCAGCAATAATTCAGAGACCTCTGACCATACACGTGTAGATTCACCTGTCCGGGTCCAGGCTGACATGCATCGAATTTTATTGCGGATCATAACAATTCGCCAACCTACATCTGAAACCACTCACCAGAACATGTTTTTACAAAAAAAAAAAAAAAAACAAAAAAAAAAACAACAACAACAGGTTGGCATTCCAAGAAAAACATTCTCCGTTCATCGGTTTCCCCCCTTGAAGAAATAAACGGACGGATGGTTTCGGCCACAGTTGTATGTCAGCCAACACGGGTCCAGCGTATTTATAACTGTTAGAATCATTGGAACCTAAGCAGATTGAAGGTCCGCGTAAAATAGGAGGGCCGTGGGAAGATTGCAGGCAACGGGAGGGCTGGCCCCTTCCCAACTGGGCAGGGGCTGCTGATTCCCTCCCTGTAGCCAATAACAGCTTGAAGACCCTTGTCAAATGAAGATTTGGTGAACCTGGAGACCCCTGAGTCCCTGAGGGTCCCTCCTGGATGGCTGGGCTGGCCTTGGCGAAACAGGGACTGCGCACCATGTTTGTGATCATATGCGACAATCAAATGGTGTTCGTTTGGGGGAGGGGGGGTCATGCGAACGTACAGGGGGGCACCAGAGGTCTTCACACAGTGCTTACAATACATATACATATAATTATATATATATATCAATATGTGTATACATATGTATATGTATATATGTGGATGTCATGAATCTAGACTGCTTACTCTGCCTCCCAACATGGAACCTGATCCTTGGGGGTCCTTTTGTGGAAATCGATCTTCCAGGTGCCTCCAGGTGCCTTCTGGGAGGGGTGGGCGGTGGACCTCCAGTTAAAGGAAAGAACACAAGTTGTTTGGCTCAAACACGTTGGGCCCAGTTGGCCCACTGGTGGGCAACCCTCGCCCTTCCGTTTCAAACAAGGCGCCGTGGCCCAAAGTCTTGGGCGCGTTGCTGCGAAGCGCCAGGCGCCGCCGCCGCCGGCGGACTGTCCCGTGAGCGAGACCCGGGCCTAAAGGATCGAGGTCAATGTTGAGTTGCGATTGACGGTTCTCATGGCGCCTTTGCTCAACCTAGTGTTGTGTCTCTTCAATCCCTTCCCCCTAGCCCCCCCCCCTGCCAAAAAAAACACTTAGTCTGAACATAAACATGTTGAGCACTTTGCAGGGGGTCAGGGCTTGGTGGTTTTAACCAGATATGCCAAGCGAAAAGCCAATGCCTCCAACTGGAAATCAGTGACTGACTGCAATTCCTTGGCATTCCCAAGGAGGCCCAGGCAAAATCGGTCCGTGTCCATCCGAGGTGCGGGGTCCCCGGAATACTGCCGCAAGACCTCCAGGCAAGGCTCTCAAAAGGTCCCGCGCCATAGGAACCAAAAGTATTAGAATGGGAGGTGTGGGGCACTTGATCCTCAAATTTAGCCATGACTGCGGGAGTCATTGAGGTCTTTGGATTTTGTGGGAGGCCTGAGCACCACCAACCTGGTCAAGAAGGAGCTTTTCTGGGTGGCTTGCTGAGCTTTCCCTGTAAATATTTTCCACTAATCAAACGCAAACAAGAACAGGGTGAGTGTTCGTTTTGGGGAACCCCTTTTCAATCTTGCAGGAACGCCAAAAAAAGCAGCCTTCGGCCCAGTAGGGTGAGTTGAGGGGTGGTGTAGGGCCGTAGAGCTGGTTTAGGTGTGGTTTAGATTGGTTCTGATTGTTTACAGTCGGATTTAGAGATAGGGATGGTATGGGTTCAGGGGGCTGAGGCTTTGTTCTGGGTAGAGCCAGTTGGGATTGCTTTAGCTTTAGAGCTCCTTCATGCAATCTAGGGTAGGTTTAGGAGTTTACCGTTGGTGCAGGATGCTTTGAGTGATTAGAATGGGTTTTGGGTGGTTTAAGGGTTGGTTTCAGGTTTGGGGGTTTCTCTGACGGATGCGGCGCATGGCGGCTACGCGTGGGTGTACAGCAAGCATTGGGTTTGCTTTGTGATTTTGAGTCGGTTTCGGGTCAATTTGGGGGTGGGTTTAGTGTGACGTCGAGATTGGTTCGGGTTCAGTTCGAGGCTGCTTTCAGATTGGCTTAGGCTTGGCAGAAATGATAGGGCTGGAGATAGGGTTGGCCTGCAAGATAAGTCGCTGGATTGGTGGTGAGAAACAAATTAGCGAAAGGGCTGAGGCCGCGACAAACCTCGTCAATGCCTCCACCTCCAGGGCACGCGCCCACATGGCACGTCGAGAAGCGGGGGGGGTCAGATATGTTGGGAAAGCCTGGTCGCCCCGCAAGTCGGCGACCTTACCATTGCCGAATAATGGGAGTGATCACTGCGTACAATGCCACGTGGGAAGAGCTGCTTCGCTCGTCCGGCGTCCTACCGCCTTTCACCTTAGAACGGGCAAACTGACTCCACTGTGCCCATTTGGGAGATGTTGGGAGGGAATCCTGAAACCGCGCGGCTTTCCTTATGCGCCGCGCCCCAACACCATCACCCACTCTTACCGCCATGTTCTCCGGGGAGGTTTGAGGCTAGTGGAAGCCCCCTTCTCCCTTCCTACGCGGACCGTCGGAGCTGCTTGTTCGCCGCGACATTACTCTTCCCCACAAAAACAATAAAGCCCGAAAACTTGAACTCGGGAATTGAGCCCTAGACCTCTCGGGCTTTTGGCGCGTGGAACCCCCGAAGCAGGGCGAAGCAGCTGAGGTTCGCCCCCGTCGCCGCTCCCCGCCTTCCCCAGGCGCTCCGAGTCCCAGCCCCCCGGGCTCCGAGTCAAAGTCCAGCCCTGCGGCATCACCTCGCCGAAGGCGGCATCTTTCTTTCGGGAAGAAGGCAAGAAGATGCAAGGTTCGAGGAAAACGTCAGTATGAAGCCCCCAAAATGTCCATCGGCTTTGGACTTGAGTGGGCTGGTGCCCCCCAAAAGGTCCCAATGCCTCCCCAATCGCCCAAAGGCTGCTTGTCCACCTTCGGGGAGGCACTCATTACGTGCCGTGTTCTCTTCTGGGGCATCGCCATTCCGACCCTATCCGCAAACGTGAACCCCCCCCCCCTCGCCCTCGGACGATCACGATAGCAAAATCACAGAAGAGGCCGCTTCCCAACAATGCACGCAGAACGCCTGTGGGCTGTCCCATTGCTACTTTGCGCTGCTTCCAAGGGGTCTATAATTTTGAGATTACCCTTCCCATAATTGTCTGAAAGGGCACCTTGGGCACCCTGCCAAGACTTCAAGAACTAACCTAGGCACCTATAGGGACGATTGGCGCAAAAGAACCTTCTTTCAGGCTCCACGCGCCGCTTTCAAAGACGACAGATTTCGAGCCAAGGCACGGCAATGGCCTCGAAGCGCTGCGCGAAGTCGCAGGAGGCCATGGGGCTCCAAAGGTCCTCCTGTGGACCAAGGGGGCCTACCGTAATTCCCTCAAGGACCTTGAGGCCTTATCTATCGGGGCGTATGGAGGTGCACCAGGCCTCCAGAGGCAACTTGTATCGGGAGAGGAACCTTAGAAAACATCGGGGATCAGTGATTTTCCAATGTTCGAAAAGGCTTCCGCTGGCTTCCCCCCATTCCACGCCGATTGCGCTATTTGGCAAGCTATGGCGGGCTGCCGATGCGCGCCATTTCTGCTTCCAGGGAGCCGTGCATTGATTTCCCGACAAACCTTCAAATGTGGCATTTTGCCGTTGTCTTTGCCATGGTCTGGGCACCTCTGCCGGACAGCTGCTTTGAAGCTTCAGCTTTCCCAACAGCAAAAGAATCAAACCAACTGCTTCATGTCCAATTTCACCTCCCTTCAACCACCCCCCTCTGCCCCTTCTGAGGACCCAAAGGCCCAAAGGAGCTTGTTCAAGAAACATGTCCAAAGACGGGATCCAAACCTGCTTTACGTCAGAGCTTGGGTCTATCACTCGCCGAAGTCCTCCTCAGCCAGGAAGGCCTCCGAGCCGCTCGCCTCCTTCATGGCGGTGGCCCTCAGTTTGCGGGCGCGCCCTCTTTGGCACTCGTGTCATTTGATTCGGCATCTCACTTCCGAACGAGTGAATTGGCCGGACAAAGTCCGAACTTTTTGCAAACTACGAAATTGGCTTCCGCAAACGCGACTCAAGTCCAGGAACTCAGGAGTGAGCAAAGGTGCAGGCCGTGCGTTGGGCGCTGCTCATCTGGGTTTGGTGAAATGGGGCTTACCCAACCGGGTCCCTTTGACTTCCCTCGTAGCACCCAATGCTGCACCCATATTTCAGGAAGCCCCTCTTGGTTTGCAACGGGAAGCGAAGAGCCATGTTGGGAGGTCCATTTTGAGGCAAACCCATGTCAACGCCACTGGCTGCATGTGGTTTCCCATGTCGTCGCCTGCCCATGCAGGACAAGGACCTAGCTACGATGTTGGTGCTTTCAACCTTTTTCCCCGAATTCATGAATTTCCCGACCCCCTAACTCGACTTTCATGGAGTATCTCTTTTCGAGGGTCCCTCTCTCGGTCAAAACAAGCGTGCTTCATGGGGATCTTGCAGCAACAGGAAAGGCCTCGGTTCAATGGTGGATCGCTCCGACGCACAGCGAATTGACACATTCTGAGTGATCCAGAATCCTGAAATGGACCTTTCGCTGCAGGGGCGGCTGGCTGAGCAGACTGCTGCGCAAGAAAAGCTCACAAGTCCATGAGAATGCCTATTTTACATTCTTCGGCATCTATGGAGAATCCAATTGAGCGTTGCAGCTGGTGAGCAGCAAGCAAGACGTCTAGGGTTGTTGACCTGGCAGTCGGCCCAAGTTTGGACATTCGGCTTCTCCTACCTGATCCAAATGGCGGGTCCCAAATGGAGGCAAATGCAACCGCCTCCTTCTTCACAGATGTGCGAGGCTCCCTGCCTCTGGTACTCGCTGTCCAGGCACCAGCACTCGCGGTCATCAAAGCAAGTCGACTGGTTCCTGGTAGCAGCGCGCTGCAACACGAAATCAGACTTGCTCAGCCAAAGGGCGAACGATGAAGCGTCCAAACTGTTTGGCCGAACTGCTTGAAGTAGATAAAGCCAAGGTGAGAAGCTCTCAGCATCTTGCTGCTAGATAAGCAGGACATTAGGCACGTACGTCCACCTGTTTTAGCTCTCTGAGTTGAAGGTTTCTTCCCTCAACAGCATGCATGAACCTAAGGCTTTCCTTGCAACGCCTCGGTCACTATTGTTGAAACAGCCTTCTTTTGGTGTCCCTCCCATGTTGCTTTGGTACAGGCAATTCTTGTCCAACCCTTACCTAACTTTGCAAAAACACGCTTCCGGGGCGAACCAGAGCGCACCTGGAAAGCAGCCGGGGCAAGCTCTGAGAGTTCATCACCTGAGCAGCGAAGTCAACACCCAGATTACCAAGCTATCCTGAAGGGAACGTGTGTCTTCACCCCTGCACAATTGCGAAACACCGAGGGCATCCGAGGGCACTACACTGAACTTGCCATCGCCCGCACCGTGCAGGAAAACGACGACGGGGTACTTCTCGCTAGACCTCTCGACAAAACTCGGTGCAAAGATGATTAAGCATGCGCTGATCAGGAAGCAGACCGCAAGACGCCAAGCCCAGTGTGAAGCAGTGCAGTAGGATTCAGCCTCTCTCCTTCAACGTTTGAGAAGCTGCCCTTGGCTGCTGCTGCCACATGACTTGCTGGTCCTGAAATAACATGCATATTATCTATGTGCGGCAGTAACGACCAAGACCACCATCAGCGGCCTCTGGCTCCAGCTCGCAGGCAGGAAGAGCTGATACCTGGGCTCCAAGGTAGTCCCAAGTCCCAACTTTTTATCCACAGACCAAAAACACCCAAAATGCCAACAACTTAGTCTCTTACACACTTCGACATAGCCCAAAATATGAGGCGATGTTCCGAAGAGCAACCCTGAAAACGAAAAGTATAAAATCAGCCCTCTGCGTACGGTGCGCATTGGCTTCGACCCGCGTCTGCTATTAAATTATGTGGCTGACACTCCAATTCGAAGACACTATGCACTGTAACCACATCCACAATAATTACCCTGCAAAAATGGTGGCAAGCTGCAGGGTGTCCCTTCCTTCCCCCCACTTGCAATATCTTCTTGAATGATCTTGGGCACTCAACCTTATAAATAAGCCGGCTATAACTAGAACAATGCTTTGTGTCAGGCAACTGGAATTGTCTTCGCGCATGACATTGTACAACCATGGCTACAACCTGTTTGACCGCTGCATTGAACGTAAAAAGTACCCCTCCAGCCATGGCTGCTCCATGGTATCATCGAAGCGCAAACGCGCCCGCGCTCCAGGTGTGGGAGCTGCAAACGGGGGATCCGGCTGGTTTTCGCTGGTGCAGTCCTTGGCAAAAAAAAAGAAGGATCGCCTGCTGGGATACTGTCCCCAATTCATTGCTTCAAAGGCATGCATAAACCCAGACATGAACGCTTGGTGTGAACCCACGGGCTTGTTGATTAACTCATGAACCACTAAAACTAACTAGGGCTGAATTGTGAGACACCGGTCCCTTGACTGCTTGGATACTTGCAACCATGGCTATAAGTAACCCCTAGCAGGCTGAGACATATCCATGGCAAAAACCGACTTGCTTAGCAGGTTGAAAAATCCAAGTAAAAATATTGTTCTTCAGCCTCTCTCAAGTTCGAATGGGCGATCTCGGAGAAGTGGAAACGAACCCCTTCCCGCAACCCAGTGGGAGGTTGAAGGATCCAGCTATGTCAAAATGGCGGAATCACTTTGGAGTCCCTTGTGTGTAAAGAGAAGTGACACCGTTTCCAAGGATCCCTCCTCAAGTTGGGGACCACCCAACAGAGGAGGGGCCCCCTCCAACCTGTTAATACCTCCCATTCAAAGCTCTCCGTGTAAGTCAGTGTCATTGCCCTCCAAAGCTATCTGGGAGTCCGGACAACACCCGATCCCCATCCCTACATACCCTTAACTGGAAATCATGAGCCCCCCCAACACACACACACACACACATGTCATGTTAATTTACCCCAGGAAAACCATCGCAAATGCAGCCCCCGCAACCCTTGCACCACTTGCTTCCCAGTGTCCGAGTCTGGAAGGGGCTGCTCGCAGGCACGCCTCAGCTTTCCCGAGCGAGACTGAGCCGGGCTTGCTTTTTGGAGGGTGCCGTTCTGGCGTCGGTTTGAAAGGAACACCGAAAGGCAAACAACCTATTTTTGGGGTCCCCCAGCCGAGCCCCGGAAAAACAACACTGGATCCACGCGACCGTTCGAAAAGCAAGCTTGCCAAACAGGCGCTCCAAGCACAATGTTGGATCAGAAGCCGACACGGCAAGATTGCTTTCTCTCAAGTCACCCGATTGCTGGTTGCATCTATGCCTGCAAAGCTCATGCGGGTATTTCCCCACAAGGGTATACCACTTTTTTTTTGGGGGGGGGGGGAATTTCCATTACCGTGCATCAAGCGGCCCTCCATTTTGCGGCCCTTGCCAGACCGCAAGCAAAACAGCAAACTTGCAGTCGACTTCGATAAATGTTCTTAGAATCTTCCCGAATACAGAGTGTCTGGCCTGGCCGCGATCGCCACTGTGGAAAGAAGAGAAAGCCAGCTCCCAAACTGTACAACCTTTGCTGTGACACCAGCCCATGGCTCCTTTGTCACTTTGAAAGGGGGTTCCCTTGGTATCGCACAAGGTGGCAGTAAAATCCAGATTTCCACAACCATGCAGCTGTATGCAGCTCAGTGGCAGCGCTGCAGCTGCCTGCGTGGCTCTAGGTTGCTACAGGCGGAAGGGCATGAAGCCACCAGCCTTCAAAACCAATGGCCGAACATCCCCTTACCCCCTTGCAAGCTACAAGGGGGAAAGGGCCCAGAAAGCTGCCATGGGACCATCCAGTTCCCAACATGAAAATTGCACCTCTCGCCACCGCTGGTGTTTGTGCGCCAACTGTTCAACAGGCTGGGAACCGTCCAAGTGGAGCAGGCGCAGCAGCTTTGCTCCGCCAGCATCATCCACCATAGGCATGCACGAATGCAGTAAACAAAGCTGCGCCGGGTAGGTATGGCCTTAACCCACTGATGGTGAGCACGGCTGAAAGCATTGCTTGAGCTCCACCAGAAGTGTGCCCACGCCGGGTTGCATGTGAGAGCCTCGCTGGGTCGCGTGTGCCTTCTGAATCTGAAGCAGGTCAATCTACGCGTTGAACGCCTTCGGAAATCTGAGACCAGCATGTGCAACTTTTGAGGGCCGCACAGAACATGTGTATACCATATACATGCGTACCGACATACAAAATGCTCAGAGCCCGGCCAGGACCTGCATTGAAGTTTGGCAAACAGAAAGTTCGGAGATGGGGGAAGGTTCATGTTGCTGGTGACGCTCGCACACAAAGAGGAGATGCGCAGGAGCTCCTTACAGGTGAAAAACATCTAACAAGTTGTGCCTTCTCCAAGTGCTGTCTTAGATTGTCGGTCGGCGTTTTGTTGACTTCGCGTAGCGTTGTGTTCTTGGCTGTCGGCATTCATTGTCTTTGCTGGTTTGTTGCCTTACTAGTGTGTGTGCGTGCGTGCGCGTGCGTGTGTTTGTTTGTTTGTTCCCCACCCGGCAGGAAAGGGTTGCTAGATTTTATGTTGGAATCCGCGTTTGCGATGCTTCTGCACCACCCAGTATCCCGCCAGAGAGACTCGCCAGTGGATCCCGCCGAGTATCCCGCCAGAGCGGCTCGCCAGTGGATCCCGCCGAGTATCCCGCCACGCCAGAGCGGCTCGCCAGTGGATCCCGCCGAGTATCCCGCCAGAGCAGCTCGCAGGTGCATCCCGCCGAGTATCCCGCCAGAGCTGCTCGCCAGTGGATCCCGCCCAGTATCCCGCCAGAGCTGCTTGCCAGTGGATCCCGCCGAGCGTCCCGCCAGAGTAGCTCGCCTGTGGATCCCGCCGAGTAACCCACCTCAGCAGCCCGCCAGTGAGCATCCCAGAGTAGCCCGCCAGCGGATCCCGCGAGTGGGTCGCCAGTGGATCCCGCCGAGTATCCCACCAGAGCAGCCCGCCAGTGGATATCCCGCTGAGTATCCCAGAGTAGCTCGTCAGTGGATCCCGCCAAGTATCCTTGAGTATCCCTTGGCAGTGGATCCTGCCAAGTATCCGGCCAGTATCGAGCCGGAGCGGCTCGCCAGTCTGGTTTTGCTTTATGTTCCGCCCGGCGCACAGCTGGGTTTACATTTCATGTTGGTGCCTTCGTGCTTTGAATGTACCCTGGGGCTCTGAAAGGGTGATGCTGTTGTGTCGCTTTGGGCTGTGAATAAGCAACTTCGTTTAATCCCCCGTCGGGTTTCTTTTTGGAAGGGTTTTGGCTTTTGTTGACGGAACCGATGTTTGAGTTCTCAAGAATGGCTCGCAGACAAGTGGAGTTTCACACACAGAGAGGTGGATAAGGCTCTCAATGCAAAGCCATAGGCCCCAAGCCACTCGAAAACCATGCTTGAATTCACACAACCGTGTTTACGGTCGCAAGCTCGTGAGTGTGGAGGGTGGGGATTGCCCGAAGCGAAGAAATTTGTTTGTCGGTTCCCCACCCGGCAGGAAAGGGTTGCTAGATTTTATGTTGGAATCCGCGTTTGCGATGCTTCTACACCACGCCCCCACCCAGTATCCCGCCAGAGCAGCTCGCCAGTGGATCCCCGCCGAGTATCCCGCCAGAGCAGCTCGCCAGTGCATCCCGCCGAGTATCCCGCCAGAGCTGCTCGCCAGTGGATCCCGCCAAGTATCTCGCCACAGCAGCTGGCCAGTGGATCCCGCCCAGTATCCCGCCACAGCTGCTCGCCAGTGAATCCATCCCGCCAGAGTGGCTCGCCAGTGGATCTCGCCGAGTATCCCGCCACAGTGGCTCCCACCAGAGCAGCCCGGAGTGGATCCCGCCGAGCATCCCGCTGAGTATCCCAGAGTAGGCCAGTGGATCTCGCCGAGCATCCCGCTGAGTATCCCTTGCCGGTGGATCCTGCCGAGTATCCGACCAGTATCGAGCCGGAGCGGCTCGCCAGCATTCGCCAGTGGATCCCGCCAGTATCCCGCCAGAGCAGCTCCCCAGACTAGCTTTGCTTAATGTCCCGCCCGGCGCACAGCTGGGTTTACATTTCATGTTGGTGCCTTCGTGCTTTGAATGTACCCTGGGGCTCTGAAAGGGTGATGCTTTTGTGTCGCTTTGGGCTGTGAATAAGCAACTTCGTTTAATCCCCCGTCGGGTTTCTTTTTGGAAGGGGCTTGGCTTTTGTTGACGGAACCGATGTTTGAGTTCTCAAGGATGGCTCGCAGACAAGTGGAGTTTCACACACAGACAGGTGGATAAGGCTCTCAATGCAAAGCCATAGGCCCCAAGCCACTCGAAAACCATGCTTGAATTCACACAACCGTGTTTACGGTCGCAAGCTCGCGAGTGTGGAGGGTGGGGATTGCCCGAAGCGAAGAAATTTGTTTGTTGGTTCCCCACCCGGCAGGAAAGGGTTGCTAGATTTTATGTTGGAATCCGCGTTTGCGATGCTTCTACACCACGCCCCCACCCAGTATCCCGCCAGAGCAGCTCGCCAGTGGATCCCGCCGAGTATCCCGCCAGAGCAGCTCGCCAGTGCATCCCGCCGAGTATCCCGCCAGAGCTGCTCGCCAGTGGATCCCGCCAAGTATCTCGCCAGAGCAACTGGCCAGTGGATCCCGCCTAGTATCCCGCCACAGCTGCTCGCCAGTGAATCCATCCCGCCAGAGTGGCTCGCCAGTGGATCTCGCCGAGTATCCCGCCACAGTGGCTCCCACCAGAGCAGCCCGGAGTGGATCCCGCCGAGCATCCCGCCGAGCATCCCGCTGAGTATCCCAGAGTAGCTCGCCAGTGGATCTCGCCGAGCATCCCGCTGAGTATCCCTTGCCGGTGGATCCTGCCGAGTATCCGACCAGTATCGAGCCGGAGCGGCTCGCCAGCATTCGCCAGTGGATCCCGCCAGTATCCCGCCAGAGCAGCTCCCCAGACTAGCTTTGCTTAATGTCCCGCCCGGCGCACAAAGGGGGTTTACATTTCAAGTTGGTGCCTTCGTGTTTTGAGCGTACCCTGAGGCTCGGAAAGGGTGATGCTTTTGTGTTGCTTGGGGTTGTGAATAAGCAACTTCGTTTCACCCCGTCGGGTTTCTTTTTGGAAGGGGCTTGGCTTTTGTTAGTGGAACCGATTCTTGAAATCTTGAGATCGGCTCGCAGACAAGTGGAGTTTGACACACAGACAGGTGGATAAGGCGCTCAATGCAAAGCTTGTTGAGCAGTCATAGGCCCCAACCTTGAATTCACACAACCGTGTTCACGGTCGTAAGCTCGTGAGTGTGGAGGGTGGGGATTGCTCGAAGCGAAGTAATTTGTTTGTGCGTGCGTGTTTGTGTTTGCGTTTGTGTTTTGTTTCTTTTGTTAGCTGCTTTCGAGACAAGGGCAAACAGCCCCCCACCGCAGCCCGCCTGGCTCTGAAGCTTCCTGAGCACTGCGCGAGCGGCGTGCCAGAATCACGCCCGAGGATGCGGGAAAACAAGACCATCCGGGAGACATTGCATCTCTTGGCTCTTGTGCTCATCTCAACATCAGGAACCCAAAAATAAGGTTTCTTTTGAAACAACTCCAAAAAAGCATACCCTCAAAAACGACACATCAGATTTCTTTTGAACTGACACGCACATCAATACGGCAATGAATGCGCATGCTGTACGCTCAGAAGCAGGGCTCGTCCGAGGCGCGGCCCCAACACCTCCAGCGGCAGCGCCTCCAGCGGCCTGCGCAGCGACTTCTACTCGGGCTAAACCCCTGTCAAAAGGCGGCGCGTTCAACCAGGTGTTTGAACGAGTTCACCTTTTGACCCCTTGTAGGGAAGCAAAGGGAGGACTCAACCCCACAAATTTGGCGGCCCATGCGGACATAAAGGGGGCCATTCCTACGCGATTCTGCACGGTTGCGGACAAGGAGGTCAATGGGCAAACCCGCTTTGGCAGTCAGACGAATCAGAATCTACACCCCAGGCGCTACGAATTGGCACGGCGAACGGCCCCTGCCCGGCCAACTGCTTCAAAGACACCGCAAGGTTTGTCTGCAACCCCTTGTTCAGCTTTGTTGGAACCCTCCCCCCCCCAAACAAAAAAGCAAACTAGGCGCACCTCTCTCCGTGCCCCTCTCCACCCTCCAGCAAATCCAAAGAGTATGAAATTCATCGCTGCAACCAATGATTGAGCAGGTTTCACTCCAAGTGAGCAACGGACATTCCACCCCTCCAAGAGCTACCTCCCCCGGCGAATCCCAGGGCGCGCACCTTGCAGATCTAAGGCTATAACAAAGGAGCAGCAACGCTGCGAGCCCGGCTGCCAACCACCTTAACCTGGGAGCCACTCAGCGTGACCGAAAGCATCGCCTTTCCCTGCTTGGGGGTAACATGCTGAACGCTTCTAGTCGAATTTCTCCCCGGGCTGCAACCAATCATGTTCTAAGGAGGAGAGGAGAAAAAAATATCTGGAAGGACCCTTTCAGAAAAGAAAAAATGACCAAAACATGTGATCCCTCTGTGACACTGGGATGTGCTTTTCTGCACTTTTCGCAAAGGCAGGAGGGCTCACTTTCGAATGGACACACCCGTGAAAGTGATCCTCCCAACCTTCCCGAAAAGAAGTTACTCTCCCCTGACAAAGACGACCCCTAACAAAATGTTTTTGAACGCCAGCCCCAAGTACTAAATTAGAATAGGACAACTCCGTGTCTCCCTTGACCTCTCCTGGCGTATTGGGTGACCCTCTGCCCGGACCTGCACATGACCAGGCCATACAGAAGCGCAAAAAGCAGGAGTTGGCTGCCCACAGCTGGAACAGGACTGCTACGTAAGAATACAAACTGCTTCTCTTTAGCAGGGGGTACTCAAAAAAAGCACTTTAATGCAGCAGGGAAGGCACATCAAAGGCCAGATCCATGAACATATTTTTCCAGATTTCCACTTTGAACATCACCCCAGCAGGAAGCAAACCTTAAACGGGCAACCAAAAAGTGCATGCCTTCACAGAGAAGAACTACGTCCTTCTTGGGGTAAACCCTCGCTCCCGGCTCCCTGGCTGCAGCCAGGGAAACCAATGTGGAGCATGCCGGCCTCGGGACTCCTTAGAAAAAACATCCATCATTTCACGGAACATACAAACTTCAATATCTTGCATCCAAATAAGTTGTAAGAGATATGTTCGGATTGCCACAATCCCTCTGTTGAGTTCAAATGGTTCTGGCCTAACAAGCTGCTAACGAATGCGCTTACAAGAGCGCCCGCTCTATTCGCTCCATTCTCGCTGAGGTGAGCGCTGAATCATCTCCGCAGAGATGGCATGGCCATCCAAAATGTGGTCTTGCCCCGGAAGACCCTCGACAGTGAAGGATTCCCTTGAACATGGGACACCCGCGACATATTCATTTGTCAAATGGCTTTGGTGATTTTTGGATTCCATTAACAGACTGCGAGCCTGACCAAACTTCTTGAGATATCTTGAGTAAAAGGGTGAGGCTGAAAAAAAACAAGGAGTGTCTTCAACTGGCCCACTTCAAAGTCATCCCTAAGAGGTAGACTAGCGAAATGTTGACCATGATGCCCTTGAAAGCCGCCAAACAATAAGGCTCCTTGTCCTTGACGGCACATTTGCCTGTTCGCCCGCCAGAGCCGAAACATGTAATCGCGGCCAGCTGCGTTGCTTCCACTTGAAGCTTTGGAGACTGCACAACCTTGAGGCTAACCGGTCTATAAAAGTAACCAAACCCCCCCCAAAAAAAAAACATATCCACACCTTGTTTGGCTCCATCCTGATCTGGGGAAGGCATGTTGCAAAGAAGGCGGGCTCATTGGGAGCCCTGCCTAAAGTCATGAAGACCGCCCCCCAGGCCACAGGCACGGACATGCACAAGAGGCTACAATTTGTTCAGCGAGCAAGTGAATTGCAAATGAGGCAACGCTGCGAAGATGCATCAGTTTGACTACAAGGGCAGTCCAAATGTCAGCGATCCTGGTGAGAAACAGCAAACAAATCTGGAGAAGCTGGCTGGGTGTTTGCTGTGATGTTGTTTTCTGTTGGAGCTCCGGTCCCTTTCAATTGCTTGAGGTTGCTTTCAGTCAAGCTGGGGTGTTGGAATTGTGTTGGTCCACAGGCAGTTTAGGCGTGGGGCGTGATGTTTGGCCGAATCACGGGCGGGATGGACTGTGATGTCTTGTGGGTTCAGGGTCGGCTGAGGGTGTCGCACGAACACGCGAACGAACGAACAAGCGAACAACCGAACGAACAGACCAGCCAACCCAACAGCCAGCCAGGACTCAAAAGGAGCAGGGGTCAAAGTTGCATTCGGCGAGGTGGCAAACGCATATGCGAGAAAAAGGGAGCACCAACCGCCTCAAGCATTACAAGCAGCCAAGAAGCTCCATTTCAACCATCGTTTTCCACAACTTGTGCATCCCCGGGTGAATGGTTGGAAGTTAATTACCACTAGTTAAAGCATCCGAAGGCCACGAACCCGCACTCCCTCACACCCCTACCCCCACGCGCCTGGCGCAGGGCCTTCTCCGCCCAAGCCAAGGCCTCCTGACCCTTCGGCTCGCCTCCTCGCGCGGAAAATCAGAAAAAGGCACAGGAAATCTGGAGGCTTGTCCAACGCCTTGTGCCAGATGAAGATGATCCTATACCTGGAGATTCAAACGTCAAGGAATTCCTTGTCACCGCAAACACCCGCAAATTACCACAAACGCCTAGGAACAGGAAACGCCCGCAAATTGCTGCAAAACACCCGCAAAAAAGGGGCAAACGCCCGCAAAAAAGCGCAACAAACCGCAAAACGCCTAAAACGCAATTAGAACGCCTAGGAATTCCTCGGCATTGGAATCTCCAGGTATCCTACCAACCGTTCCCATCCCTTCCCATCCCATTCTTCATCCAGCCTTCATTCACTTCCTAAAGTCGGTTATTTTGTGAAATGTGAGTAAGAAGGTTGGTAGGTGAAGGATTCACTCGTTGACAGGTCATGTGCCACCCGGGCAGATCCTCAAGGATTGCAAAGGCTGCCGACTTCAGGCCGCCGCCAAAAATACAATCTGGTTGGCCCCTGGATCACGTTGTCTGAAGGGATTACACCCATCAGACTCCAAGAGGAAGGGCAAACGCCCTTTCACATACCGCACATACCGCCCCGCCCCTCGGATTGCAACTGCATCTTTCCAAGATGAGGGATCGCACACTCGCGCTGCTCAAAACCAGCTGCAACATGCGTGGGCCCGTCTGGAACTTTACAAAGTACCAATGGCTGCGCTTCCTTGACCCACCTTGACCCGAACCCCGCTGACACTGCGCCCTCCCAAAATACAGCCTTCGGCGACAAACGCCACCGAATGCCGGCGAGAGCTGTCCATAGCTGTCCATCCAACCCCTGCAACCACCCCCCATTGCCCCGCCTCTCAGCGCACATTCTGCGAGCCCGGCGAGGGCATCCGCGCAAAGGCCCCGGAGGCGGAGGACCACCAAGCACCTCTCGCGCGCCGGCTTACTCTGGTGGATTTCCGTCGAATTTCCTTGGGCGGGGGTAGGTTATTATTTTTTGGAAGCCATCATTTGCCTACCAGTTGTCAAACGTCGTGATTTCTTGCACGGCCCAACCCGGTTTTCCATGTGTGGGCGAGTGGTAGTGGGTAGGTTTCGAGCCAAACAAACACCCACGTTCAGGATTGGGCTAAGCCTTTGTTCGAACATGTGCAAACTGCCTTTGCACAGGGTTAAGCAGCCCACTTTTGGTAAAGGGAGCAAAGTCTGATGTCAACGTGTTGTTTTGCTTTTAGCTTCTTTTTTTTCGGTTCTCCCGGGGGTAGACCCGGCGACAAAACAAGGCTTTCTTTTTTGTTTTTGTTTTTTTGTTAGGGGGGGGGGGGTAGATATGGCAAATGCCGTACGGGCGTGCGGCAGAGGTAAGGTGCGCGTCCGCGATGTGCGGATGCATCTCAAGGATCAAGCAAGCAAGCAGGCAGGCAGGCAGGCAGGCAAGCAAGCAAGCAGGCAAGCAAGCACAAAGCCAACCAAGCCACAAACCAGAACCAAGAAACACTCAACTCAAAACAAATAAATAAACAACCTAGCCAACAAAATCGAAGGTTGAACTCCATGTGCATCAACGCATAAGCGCACACGCAGTACTGATCTCCGTGTGCCCCCGTACAACAAACGTAGACCCTCGCGCGCTTTGTCCCCTCACCACACCTCCTCCCCACACGGGGCAGCTGGGAAGCTGACAAGCACCTGCTAAAAGCCCGGAGTCAACTTGACCGAATTGCGTCAGGGTATGAATGTCAATTGGGGGCTCGTGAACAACATGATCAAGGCCAGTGTGCATAGCAATTTGCGTCGGGTGGTTCCCCATTTTGTTTGTGGGCGACACCGGCAAAGCAGTCCGGCCTGCCGCTGGCGACCAGCCGGCCACGCCCTTGGCCTGGGCCGTCCTCCCAGTAGTCCTTGCCCGCCTGGATATGTGGGGGGGAGTGGGGGTGGGGGGGGAATCATGGACCCATACATATGTGTATATATATGTGTGTGTGTATATATAAAAGCGTATATACAAACATAGATAAAAGTGTGTGCACACATTAGGTATGGTAGGGTATATTAAAAACCACTATTGAGTCAACAGCAATGCGGCCCAATTCTGCGGCCAAAGAGGACTAACCATGGTCCGAGCCACCCCCCTATTAATCCGGGGTCAACCCCCTTTGCAACAAAAACACGAATTGGCAAGAAAGCACCAACCACAAAATGCGCCCAAACCCGCTGGCGCATTTGCATGGTACCTTTTTCTATCTACAACAGTCTGAAAGCTCAGTGGCGGCGAGAACGATTGAGCCTAGGCAACTTAGCAGGCGCGTTTGCGGTGTCCCTGAAGTGAATCATAAGTGAATCATCTCACAAAATCAAGCAAGTGCAATCCGCTCCGCGCGCCAGCTTGAGCCTCCTTCCACACCTTGGGTGTGTGTCGTGCAAAGGTCTGGGGGCTGATCTCCAAGCCCAAGTGGCCAAGACGGAGCAAGTCGCCGGGGCGAATGGTACCCTATCCTCTGATCAGCACCCAGTTGCAAAACAGCTTGGCCCTCATTGGGGCAAGCTGAGGCTGGAAGTCTCCTCAAGCGCTTGCCTTTGTCTGTCTTTGGCACTCGTTGGTGCACTGGTACACCATCATACCTCCCCCCAAGAATAACAAAAGCAAATGGCTTACACAAAGAACACATTGTTACGAGAACAATATGGCATCTGCATAAACACAGGCACAACACTTAAAATTGAGATGCTCCTTGTCAATCAGCAAAGCTGATTGAAACATTGCATTGCAGTATGGAGAGAAAAGACCCTGACTCATGATCCCCTCTCTGCATTTGTACTGCTCAAGTCCCAGTTGTCTCGTGACCCCAGGGTTGACCAAGCCTGGGGTTGACCATCCTGCATCCACAAAACAAGTGGGCGACTCCTTTACAAAAGCAGCGCGTGGTTGGGACGAACTCCCATGCAACATCTAGGCACAGCAGCTCAGCATGCCGCCGCAGATCTTGTTCTCGTCCACACCTTGCAGAACCACCTGCCCAAGACAACAAATCAGCATAGTAAACATGTCCAATATCCTCGCCCTTCCCACCTCCTTCTCCCTTCATGGGCTGAACCAGGTCGCAAAAATCCCAGGGGCGCCTTTCCGTGGGAAGCTTTCGAGCAACCGGCCTTATCCGGATCCACTTGGGACGCCACAGGCGCAACAAAGTCCTTGACATCCTCTGCCTTGGCATCTGGCGACTTCTCATCCTCCGGCGCTGCCACGGTCACAGACTTCTCCGATTTCTGCTTTAAAGGCTCAGCCGGAGCCTCCTTGCCCGGCTGAGCGTCCTCCGCCTTCTCTTCTGCTTTGGCTGCTGGCTTGGCGGCTTTGCTGGATTTGCAACCCATGGCTGGGGACGGGAGGCTGGCAAACTTGCGACTTGCGCTGAGCTGAAAAATGCTGCCCGCATAGCGTGTGCAAGCATCCTTAGGGAAGTTTTTTTGCAAGTCCCTTGCTGGAAACAGCCCGTACTTGCCGGGATGCATCCTACTTGCGCACTCGTGCCCTCGTTTTTCCGGACACAGGAATGACTGCCGCGAACCTGCAAATCCACAAAGCCCTGGTTCAAACAACCCGCAGTCTCCAAAGCACGGCCAAAACTCCTTGAAGCGGACCATTTCTGCAGATAAATAGTCAGCGCGTCCCACACCTTTGGTGTGGCACTGCCAAGGTCTGCGGATGACTTTGAGGCCAATTGCCTCGAAAGAGGTGATCTACGATCCCGTGATAAGCACATGTCAACACCTCGTGAAGGCTTCGGCCCTGGAGAGGCAAAAAGGTGCAAAGCGGCATCGCACCAATGGAAAACGTCAAGTCCGTGACCCTGACCCTTGCCCGAGTCCTTCTCAGAAGCGGCAACGAACTCCGATCGCGCAAGAACTAAGCGCAGCAGCTCAGCACACCGGCACAAGTCTTGTTCTCGTCCGCACCTTGCAGAACCACCTGCCAAAGGGCAAGAATTGAGCTCAACCCAAAGAAACGAATCAGCATCAAGGATCAAAGAAAGAGGCCCTTGACGGCAATCACTCCAAGGCCTAAATCATGAGCCATTGTAGACATGTGCTTCACCATCCTTCACTCTTGCCTTTCATGCACTTAATCTGCTGGCAAAGCCGGACATCCCGTGAGCAAGATTTTGCGGAAAGCTTTTGGAAGGGTTCGTGGCCCTTGCCTGGGCTGGATCCACCTGGGCATCCATAGGAGAGGTGAAGTTCTTATCCTCGGACGTCTCTGCTTTCTGCTCCTTCAAGGCCTCCTCAGCTGACGGAGCATCCGCCGCCTTCTCTCCTGCCTTGGCAATCGCAGCTGGCTTTTCCGCTTTGCTGGATTTGCAGCCCATGGCACGGCGAGAGGCTGGCAAACTTGAGCTGAGCTGAAAAACGGCTCCTTGCACTCCTGGACCTGCCTGGCACTGCCACACTTGAACTGGCCCCGGCTTATGGTGACTCGGCCATGCAAGCGACATCACATTTGGGAAGCAAGCTCAAAACTTCCCTCGCCTTTTCCAACACCCTTGGACCAGCTTTGGAGCTGAGCGGAAGCGTGCAATATTGTGCACATGCCGATTCAAAGCACGCCACAAGTGGACTCCCAAAGAACAGGCGGTTGCTGTCTTCCTACAAAACGTGAGAAACGAGCTGCTCACAAAGGCCCTGGTTGCTTTCGGCCTTCCGCTTCCTACATAAGATCTCTCGAAATCAGCTCCCAACTGGCGGGATTTGAATGCCTGTCACATTCCACACCTATCCGGAGCCAAGGCCCCCAGGAGCGCGAGCCCGGAACCGGCGTAAGTGTTCACCCGCGCCTTTCGGCTTGCATTCGCCCAGCCCATCGGTTTGAAGGAGGCAAGGGGTCCCGCGTCTGCGAACAGCTGACCGGCGGGCCCACTTCAAAGGGATTGTGACGTACTTCACATTGCATTGGGTGCCGGGTGGACCAAGGTGTGAAGAATCGACGCTGTCCTGGGAGGAGTTATGCGCTGTTGTAGGCTGTTGCTGCAGGACTGTGGCAAGGTTCTTTCACAGGGCGCTGCTTCAAGGTGCTGCTTCAGGGTGCTGTTTGCAAAGGACTGGCATGGGAAGTAGTTGCACACAGCTTCTGGAGAGCGGCTAAAAATTGCGCAGGGTGCTGTTCAAGTGCTGCCACTGCAGCGTTCGGCCAACCAGCTCCGCACACGATTTGTTGCTGGGTGTTTGCTTTGCTCGGTTTGTTTGGCTTGCTTGCTTGGTTTGTTGGTTTGTCTGGCGCGCATTCCAGCTAGAGTCTCTGTGTGCTTCGTATTGTGAAACGGGTTCACGGCTACCCAATTAGACTTCCCATGAGCTCTTGCTATCTGGGGTCTACGCTGGTCTAATTGTGAATGTACTTCTGCCGGGGAGATCACCTCCCCTACCTCCTTCGATGGGAAACAAGTGGGGCCCAAGGCCCACATCTATATTATACTTTCATGCAGCCCGGCGCTTTGGCTTTGGGGAGGTCATGCAAGAGGAAGATGCACACCAACTGCCACCTGATCTCTAGACTCTGAACCCGAAATGTTCGAAACTTGTTCAAGATCTGCTCAAATGGCTGCAATTCTGGTGAGCGCGTTTTCCCCCTAGCTGAGCTCGAAGGTAGACAGGCCTTACCCCCCCGCCCAAACCAAACCACCAAGCTCCCAAACTCGAGAACTTTCCAAGGCAGCGGTTCTCTCTATCGCTGCAGTTTCGGCCCTGTGGCTGCCTCTGTTCAAAGCGTACTACGTGACGGCCGTGTCACGACCATACACCCCTTGACAACTGGGGTCACCAAACGTTGCAAAGGGTAAACAACACAGACCCGAGGCACACGAAGCTTGAGGTTATGTGTCCACATGTATCTTTGCTGGTGGCAGCAGGCATGTCTTCCCATGGCTTTTGCCACTCTTTCTCAGGCGTAAAGTCCAGAAAGCCAGGTGAGGCACGGGCCGCTTCAAACACGCAAAGCCGTGCAACCACCTCAGAGCCGAAGACCCCTTCGGCTCGACACGGGTGTGTCTCGAAATGAGAGACGCACTGTGTCTCAAAATTCAAGGACCTTACACACCACCAAAAGGGGGAAAAAGGCAACACCATGCGCTGCCCGTCCCAACTCGCTGGCTCAGTCAGCAGCAAAAGGCGCAGGCAGGGGCTGCCGGCCTCGCTTGGGTTCCCGATGAGGGACGAGAGAGGGGCGTTCGAAGTGGAGCCTCCACAATTTGCAACATGTTGGTGCCCAAAAACCAGCAAGAACATTGGCTGCTTTGCAACTTCCACCAATGTCGCATAGACGTCCATTGGCTTGAAGCGGCATTTCCGCCATGGCGCTTCAAGGAAAGGAACAAGTGCCCGAGCAAATCGTCGAAGTAGATATTGGATGCTTCAGCATATGAAGGACCGGACACATCCTGAAACCCTGTGTGCCACCCAATGTGGTATGTTCTACATGGCCAACGATGTAAGTGAGCGTGTGAGCAAGAGAACCGGGGAAAGAGTGGAATCGTGCGCATGAAGTGGGTAGTTGGGGCGAGTGAGTGAGTGGGTGGGTGGGGGCTGGGCGGACACCGTGGGACAAGGGCTCTACACGGGAAATTGCAAGACGCCGTTGTGGGGACTGTGAAGAGGAGCGAACTTGGCAATTCAATATCCACTGCTCCCACCCCTCACCTCCCCCACCCCCTATAATGCACAGCCACCCCCACCCCCACCCCACCCCACCACCCCACCCCACCACCACACCCCACCCACCACACCCCACCCACCACACCCCACCCACCACCCCACCCACCAACCCACTCCATGCCAAGGCACTCCGTTTCGGCCTCCGGGCACTCTACCAGTGGCAGGACTGCCTTGTCGGCCGCCAGGACAAGAGCGTCCAGGTCTTGGACCTCGGCCTCCGCGTCGTTGGAACCGCCCAAAAGGGGTCCCATTGGTCTCCCGAAAGGGGAGGACAGACCACCCGAAGAAAAAAAAAAAAAAAGAAGGCGGTCTGGGATTTGGCCCTTTGGCGTTGTCCCCCTCGTCGGCATGACTGTAAGATTGAAAAAGAAACTTCAAGGAAACCCTTCAAACAATATCTTCAGAACTGCCAGGGGATGATGTGGGGGCCCCTTTTGGCCGCAGGACGAGGGTACCCCAAAGGCCTGGCCTGAGCCCCCATGGTCATCTGTTTAACTCAAGAGTTATGGTTAGAGGGCCATGTGACCAACCGAAGGAAAAAAGAAAGGAAAGAAATGAGGGACCCCCTTCCCAAAAAGGAACAAAGGGCACCACTGGATGTCTGGGGCATGGCTGCCGCAAGAGAGGCTGCACCCAGAACCGGCCACCAATGCAACGCAACGGAACTCATAGATACAGAGCGAGGGGCCTTCCTACGTCCCCTCTAAGGATATATCCAGGCCAATCCCCACCTGCAACTCTCATGTTGCCACTAGGTCACCAGCATCGCGGTCTCTTTGGAGTGGTGAAACCTCCCCGCCCAGTGACAAACCTCTTCGCCAAGCGCCTGTGCGACCTCAGATGCCTCAGTGATGTAGGGTCCTGCCCACGTTTTGCGCATGGAGAACCAGGTGTTTGAGTATCATGAGAGGGCTCAAATACAACCTGCTACCGGAAACCTGGCCGTCTGCTTCCCCCTACGTAGCAGCCTTTTCAGGTCAAACTTTGGCCGAATCCCAGACATACTGTGTGCCGTTTGATTCACAAACACTGTAGCTTCGTGGTGTGAGTTGGATTGGTTTGGGGAGTTAAGCTCCGGTCGCTAGCATCGCCTCCAAAAGCCAAAGGCAAGCTGAACCAAGAAACAACGGCTTCTACCAGTCGCAGGTTCAAAAATGGCATGGAATGACATACTGAGGTGGGGGGTGAGGGTGCAAGTCCTGCGCAAGCAACCCAACTCAAACGAAAAGCGACATGAGAGCTTGGCAAATCCGAATCCGCTGCAGAAGCCCCCTTTCCCAACCCAAGGATGAGGATTGCCTTTGACCAGCCGGAACTTCGACTCGACCCGAGAGAGCATCCTGATGCCACCGCGGTAGATTCAGAGTCACAGTCCAGGATCATGGCAGTGCGCTTGTTCCTCAAGGTGCCTACAGGTTTTGGGCCAACGCCTGGAAACACCAAACGGAAATGGGTCTTGTGAGGTTGGGACCCCCAAACTGGACTTTCCTGGGTGCTTTTGAACAGATTTGAAAGGAGGTTTGCTACAAACAGGTCTTGAGTGCCCCTTACGAGCGATTGAGGATGCGGCAAGGGGCTTCATGGCGTAAGGACGTCCATCAAGGATGAGGGTGCAGATGCGGTAGTTGGGTCAAAGGCTCGATTGTTTCGAGCATGTCCTTTGTGATTGGCGTTGGCACCAACGACATGCTCATTGGCCTGGCCCTGGGCGTTGGTTTGGAGGCTAGCGGGCCCCCGGTTTGAAGGCCGCTACCGGGCAAAACGACCCAACCCTTCTCAACCTGAAGGATCGTACTGAGTGCCCGAAGGCAAGCTAATCCCTACATAGGTATGTTTACTATACATGTCTGTGTTTGTGTTTGTGTCTCCAATTTAGAGTGTGGCCTTTCGTTGGAGATTCTTCGAAAAGGAAGCAAATCTGGAACCACAACCCTTCAAACAACCCTCCGAGCCCTCGCACCTCTGCCGCTGGAAGCAGAAGCCGTCACTGCCTTTCCGTTGCCCTTGCCATTGCTGCAGCCCATGACTGAGACACTGACGCTCCGACCTTGTCCGAGCCAAAGCTGCACCCGGATGCAGCTCAACCACACGCAAGAGACGCACACCGCCTTGAAAACCGCGGGGCCGCGGAAACGGACGTTGTGGCTCATGGAAAAAATGCAGGCAAGTGGTCCGACGCCGCACCAAACCAAAGCCCTGCCTGTGCGGACGCCTGTCTGCTTATTTCTCCCTTCTTTCACACATATCAAGTCGCATTGGCCGGGGCCGCCAGGACACGCCCAGTCCGGGACGTCCGGGCAACCCATCTGAGCGCTCAGGGGGCTGGCCTGGGTCCTGCCCAGAAATCACTTCAACTTTGTAACTAAGGTTTTGATGCCATGCTCAGTAGTGGGCTAGCTGCTAGGTGGAACAAGGGCAACAACTATTTACGCCACTCAAAGAATCCAATCCGTCAGTTGCAAAAGCGGTGGGCCAAGAACAACAAGCGGTAGTTGGTCTCCAAAAGGCATGAAAGTTCCAACATCAGCTTGAATAAGAGTTGACGCCTATGCATGAACAAGCTTGTGCAGCGTGTTGTGAAAACACGCCATGATGAGTACGGAAAAAGGAAGAGAGATAAGCGTAACTGTACAAAGGGGAGGGGAGTGGAAAGAAGAGAGCACACGGAGAAGAGCTGAGAACGTGGCAGAAGTGCAAGTCGGGAACTAGACCCGTAGGTGGCAAAGCCTGTGACTTGCCAGAGCTTGTGGCTGATTGGTAGGTTTCCTGCACCCTTGGCGGAACACATCAGGGTTGGACCTTTTCTTGGGGCCGATGCCATTTTCCCGCCTAGGGGATTTGAAGGGCTTCTTACTGAACTAGGCTCCCAACCAGCGCCTACGATTTGGGCCGGGCCCTCTGAGGCATGCAGGGCTTCCTCCATGCAGCGGGGTCCGAAACCTGAAAAGGCCGACTCCCAGCGGGTTTATAACGAATTCCTGGCTCATTAACAGGGCTTGCCGCACTTTTGGCCGATCTCTCAATAAGCCTTGATCTTCAACCATACGTTGCAACAACAATGAGCATCTACAATTGACATGAGATGATACGGGCAGCGCAAAGTGGGGATTGCAAGAATTTCTGCGGCAAGCCCTGAATCGTTGCAGCAGAATGCGCGGCAGGATCCTTGGCGAACGACCTCATAGACTTCGTTCACTGATCGGTACCATTGGACGGCCTGGAGCAAGGTTCCCGCCAACATAGTACCTATGTGTGCCATGGGCCCAACAAATGCAACCAATCTGTTGAATGCCCTTTTTGGGGCCACTTGAGCAAGCCGCCAAAGATTCCCATCCCTTGCCAGTTGCATTCAGCCAAAGCTAACGTAGCTAGAGGCGGGCCCGGGGGCCCATACCAGTCGTCGCGACGCAACTCGATGACTGGGGCCATGCAAGCCCCCGTCAAACAAGTTGCTTTGCCCAATAATAAGGGCCAAGAAGGGCCATCAGATGATGTGTTTTTTCAACTTGTAGGCAGGGAGGAAGCCAAAGACCCCCTGCAGAGAGAGAGTTCTTAGGACCTGTCTAAGGAGGGTTCAGTTCCAAAATGGGTTCTCTAATGGCCCTCGGAAGCCTGAACTTTGAGGGCGGCCTAGCTGCAGTCGGCGCAGCATTGGCAGTAGCCCCTCCGCATTTCCGCGGCGGCCACGCTCGAGGCGTCCTTCACTCGAATCACGGTCTCCGCCATGGTGGCGACAGGCGTGTTGCCCAGCAACACCGGGCCTGCATCGTAGACCAAACTTGAAGTCCCGGTTTTTCCTCTTGGAAGTATGCCCAAACCTCCAAGTTGGCGTTGCCCATGGGGGTGAATGGGCATGGAGGGAGTATGCCGCAGTAGTATGCCAAACTAGGTTCAAGAATCGGCACAAGGACCATGCTGGCCTCCATCTTGCGTGGGTCGGATGACCAAGTCCTCCTCCGGCACTTGCTCAAACTCTTCCAGATACATGTCGTTCCTCGCTCACTGGGCTGGGATGGGGGTGGGCTGGGGTTGAGCTGAGTGTGCTGGGCTAAGTAGACTGGCCAAATAAGTTTGGACTTTGTGCAAAGTTTAAAGAAACCAGCAAACCAAACAAAAAGCTTAAAGATCGCCAACCCAACGCAACTTGACAGATGCTGGGGTCCCGTCCGCTTCCATTCACTCGCCCTCTCCCCCCTGCCCCAAGGCCCCACTTCACGCCCAGCGGCACGTCGGTGGACATGTTCGACTCCTGCATCACAGCAGCCTCGTGGCCGTCCAACTGAATGACTGCGGTGTCCTCCTTCCCGGAGACCTCCTCCACTTTTCCAGCCTCTAAAGGGGCACCATCGAATTGGATCCCAGGCGGTCGAAACCCGAAACTGCCCGGCGATAGCCGGCCTCAACTTGGCGGGGCACTTTGAACCCCCCAGGCTTGGAGGGAATTCGCATAGGTCCAGTTTACCCATGGTGAGCCATGCGTGTGTGTGTGTGCGCGCACAAAGCCTTCATGATGCATTCGAACCTCGGTATGTCGCAGGGCCTGACTTGGAGCACGTTGTAGGGCCCTGGAACGCATACATTCCTTGCCTCACTTGCACTATCTTGCCTGAACTCCAGCCCCCACAGCTTGAGAGCGACCGACCCTCTGGAAACACCTTCCGGAAATGGCACGCATGTGGTTCGCAACAGCCATCGTCAAAAAAGCTGTTCGTCGCTGCGTCCCCATTCAAACGAGCAGTGTTTTGCGTGGTTCGTGGCCTATACGCTACTTGCATGCGCCACTGCAAAGAGTGCCTACGCGAGGCCAAGTCATCTTGCAGGTGCCTACACAGACGCCTACGAGGGGAGATGTTCAGTTCAAGTGTGCAACACGAAGTGCACTTAGGAAGCTCCAGAAAAGAGCAACTTTTCGGAAATCTTGTAGTGCACGAAGTGCACTTTGGCAGCCCCGGCCCTAGATCACATTTGCAATACAAGTGAGAACCCCACATCTTTCCAAGGAACTGTCTGCCAGAAAAGGTGAATGCGCACGAGGGCGGAAGACTGCAGCACAAACAGAAGGAATGGCCTCCAACCTGCGGGATCCTGGCAGCATTAAAGCCTTCGCGAGCCTATGCCCAACCCGGCAAATAACATGCGCAGTTGCCTGTTGGCATGAACTCCTTCATTCAACTAACAAGCGCTGCTCAAATGGCTGTCTGAAAATGGGGGGGAAGCCGCCTCCCTGGATTCCTGTTCCAAGCCAGCCATGCCTGCCAAACAAGGGTACCCTAGCCTCCAAACGGACCCCGCCTTGCAGCCCATGGCTTCACCTTGCCATGGCTGGGCCTCTGAGCCTCTGAGCCTGGCCTCTGAGCCAAAGCCCGCGGGGCACCAAGATCTGGGCAGTCCCCATGCTTCCTGCTGAAAAAGGCGGAAAGGACTCGCATGCGAGTCTGGAACATGACTCGGGGTTGGCCTTCTCTGGAGAAAATTCCAGATTTTAGTGGCACCTGACCCTATGTGGCCCTGAGACACCGCAACGCGTTCTGAAACGTACAGCACCTTCTTCTTCTTCTTCTTCTTCGATTTCGTCACATCGGTTGCATTAAACGCAGCATTGGAACGTGGCAGGGGCTGGGCCTGCGGCAGCCTGTGCGAGACAGCAAGACAAACTGGGGTGCTTTAGCCACCTTGGGACCGGCTTGGCGTACCAAGAGGAAACCCTCTGCAAGAGTAGCCTAGAGAAGACAACCCTGAGACAAAACATTGATACAAACTAGGGACTCTAGACTCTCTAGACCTGTACCTCCGTGTACCTCGTCCAGACACATCCGCATGCCACCTGGCATCCTCGCCACCCGAATTCCAACCTCATCTGTGTGAGGGCACGTGCACGACACGACCCGCCGGAGGACATCAGGCCGAGTTATAGTGAAGCCACGAGCTGGAGAGGGCTTTAGACTAGCCCCGGCCATACCAACGCAGCTGTGTACAACTAACCCCTGTTGGCTTTCGTTTACTTGGTCTGTATTTGGGTGGGTATTGGGACCGTATCAGCGGTGGTTAGTCCAAAATGTCACTATCCACAACCCTCCAGACGGCAACACAAGCTTGGTATGCTTGAGTCATTGAGAGTGATGCTTGCAAGCTGCTGCTTGGTTAGGTGTGGCCAGGCAGGCACTGCTGTGTCCATCTACTCCGAGGGCGTCCAGAAGACTCGGGTAGGAGCGGGAGGATGAGCTGGAAGAAAGAAATTTAACAAACCATTGGCCTCCTCGTGATCCATTCCTCGTGGCTTCGATTAATTGCGCATGACGCCATGCTGTATAAAGACGCTTGCATTCGCTTGCTCGCCGGGCAAAATGATGGTTACCTCCTGCAAAAGAACATGTAAACCAAAATGCAAAAAGGTCCCTCAAAGCAGACAATGATGGCAATGCATGTTTGGCATGAGCCTGCAGGAGTATTCTGTAGTCTCAGGTGGCTTAAACAAAATCACTGAACGACCGTGATTCACCCAGAAGGCTGCGCTTTGTCCACGACTGGCGGCCTGCTAAGTTACATGCCCTCCTCAGGCCTCGTGGAACTGTTCGCTCTCAAGCCCTTTCTTTCTGCAGGGGGTGCCAAGGAGGCACCCTAAATGGAACCCCAAAGGAGGTCCCTTTGCGATAAAAGCTGGCCTAGTGACCGCCAGGGCTCCAGGCTTCGCCGGGAGACGCGATTTGGGAGAGGGCCCAGGCGAATCAAATGGAGATGCAGCAGCTGAGGAGATGGGGCTCGCTCTCATCCGCCTCATGGCGCACGTCTTGCACCAAGATGTCCGAGACGTCAGCCTCAAGCACGAGGGTCATGGATCTGGGAAATCGAAAGCTGGTAGGCAAGGAGTCCACTTGAACCCCTGGTGAAGAACCGGGCCAACACAATTTCAAGCCATTTCAAGCCGACATGCCCCAAGGCCAATTTGAGTCACAAACAGGGGTCTACCTGCAACTTCTGGCACATGATGGGGGGGTTCGGGTATCCGCGCCCTTTTCTAACTGTTGGAACTTGCCCGGGTTCTGATCGCGGCCCATTTGCAAGATCACCCGCTGCAAAGGCGTTCTTCAACAGCTTCGTCAAAATGCATCTGTTACAACATGGGCCAGGGTTGAGGGGGTGAGGCGCAGGCTGACTATACATGTGCAATGGGCCCTCTATGCACCTCCATTATTGTCAGAGAATCACAAGATTCATCATTCCCTGCTTGGTGTTGATCGGCTTCTTCCGCTCCGACCTGTTTATTTGTCCCCCAGTTTACCTGGGGGGACTCATGCAGCAACCCCCCCCCTGCAAGTCAAAAAAGGAGGAGCAACAACGCGTGGCCCCACTACTTAAAGGTGTAGGGGGGTGCTGAGTAAGAGGCGTAACCCTGGTTAAACCCATGCGCCATAGAAGTTCCGAAGTGGTTTATAGCCAGAATTACCAAGCCCTTACGAAGAAGCCCTCCCCTGTCAATTTGACCGGGATGAACCGACCTGCCCCACAAACAACATCAACAACGGGTTTTCATCACTGGGCCAAGATGAGCTGAAAACCTGAAATCAGGGATCCCCCTCGTAAAGAAAAGGACCTGATCGCGTTTAGCCCACAACCCACAACATACGGTTCCAACTTCGGCGATTTCCCATGGCCACATGGCCCCGCTCCATGCCTCCAGCGTGGACACCTTGGTCTCGCCCTCCTCGTCCCGAGAGTCCATCGCAGTGGACGCCTTGGACTGCGCAAAGCTCTCCGCGGCCATCACCGTCATCTTGGGCTCCTCGCGCTCGTGAGAGGAAGCCGTGTGAAGGGCACCCGTTCTGATTGTGTTGAGGTGAGAGGAAACCACCCATGTTGGGGAGTTTGCCCTGGTTTTGACACATGCGGGCGCCTGTCGAAAAGCGCTTGGATTGTCCCAAAAGACTAGTGGTTTGGCTGGCAGTGGAAGCCATCTTAGGGATGTTCAACCCACGTCAGATAGGTGGGGTATATAACTCCCTGGTTGTATGAAAGGGGGTCAACCAAAAGCTAGACCACGGTTGGCCCGAAAGCAGAACATCGCAAGCGAGGTCGGCCCAACGCTGCAGGATGCGTTCTTTTTCCCTACACGAAGCATTTGTGAAGCAAGCGCGAGACAGCACCAGGCAAGGTGCTCTGCGCAAACTGGTCGGTGCAAGTTGGTCTGCGCAAGTTGCTCTACGCAAGTTGCACTGTGCAAGTTGCTCTGCGCAAGTTGCTCCGCGCAAGTTGCTCCGGCAAGTTGGTCCCTGCAAGTGGCTCCCTGCAAGTTGCTCTGTGCAAATTGCGCTCCCTGCAAGTTGCTCTGTGCAAGCTGCTCTGTGCAAGTTGCTCTGTGCAAGTTGCTCTGCGTAAGTTGCTCTGCGCAAGTTGCTCTAGGCAAGGCGCTCTGCGCAAACTGGTCGGTGCAAGTTGGTCTGCGCAAGTTGCTCTGTGCAACTTGCTCTGCGCAAGTTGCTCTGCGCAAGTTGCTTTAAAATGCAAGTTGCATCTTGCGACGCCCGCCCGCGGACCAGGGAGGAATCGAACCCGCGACCCGCCGGTTCCGGGAGCAGGCGCGCGAACCACGAGACAACTCCCGAGGACCAGTTCGAACAACAAAAGTCGCAAAAAACCTCGAGTTTTTGCACCTCGACCACGCCGATCCCCGCAGAGGGTTGCGCGAGCACCGCAGAAATCGCAAAAAACCTCGAGTTTTTGCACCTCGACCACGCCGATCTTCGCAGAGGGTCGCGCGAGCAGGTTAAAAATCGCAAAAAACCATGGGTTTTTGCACCTCGACCACGCCGATTCCCGCGCAGAGGGGTCGCTCGAGCACCGCGACCCGCCCCCCGCCCGAGCACCGCAGAAATCGCACGCCGAAAAAAAAACCATCGGTTTTTGCACCTCGACCACGCCGATCCCCGCAGAGGGTCGCGCGGGAACTTTAGAAATCGCAAAAAACCATGGGTTTTTGCACCTCGACCACGCCGATCCCCGCAGAGGGTCGATTTTCGTGTAGTGTCGTCGGCACTACCCGCCGCCCTAAGAAGAGATTTTAACTCCTCGCAAGTCAATTGCACTTGACTCCTTGCACTTGCAACTTGCACTTGACTCCTTGCTTGTTTCAAGGAGTCATTGCAAGGAGTCATTGCAAGGAGTCATTGCAAAGAGTCATTGCAAGGAGTCATGGCAAGAATTCATTGCAAGCAGTCATTGCAAGGAGTCATTGCAAGGAGTCATTGCAAGGAGTCATTGCAAGGAGTCATGAGAGCCATTGCAAGTTGCAAGGAGCCAAGTGCATGGAGTCAGTGCAAGTCGCAAGTGCACGGAGTTAAGTGCAAGTTGCAAGTGCAAGGAGCCAAGTGCAAGGAGCCAAGTGCATGGAGTCAAGTGCAAGTTGCAAGTGCATGGAGTCAAGTGCAAGTTGCAAGTGCATGGAGTCAAGTGCAAGTTGCAAGTGCAAGGAGTCAAGTGCAAGTTGCAAGTGCAAGGAGTCAAGTGCAAGTTGCAATCCTTGCCATGACTCCTTGCAATGACTCCTTGCAATGACTCCTTGCAATGACTCCTTGCAATGACTCCTTGCAATGACTCCTTGCAATGACTCTTTGCAATGACTCCTTGCAATGACTCTTGCAATGACTCCTTGCAATGACTCCTTGCAATGACTCCTTGCAATGACTCCTTGCAATGACTCCTTGCAATGACTCCTTGCAATGACTCCCATGACTCCTTGCAATGACTCCTTGCAATGACTCCTTGCAATGACTCCTTGCAATGACTCCTTGCAATGACTCCTTGCAATGACTTTCATGATGATGATTCCTTGCAATGACACCTTGTAATGACTCTCATGAGAACAACTCAAGTGAACCCAGCGGAAGAACCCTTCGCCATGCTTTCGGGAAAAAATGTTCGAATATCTCTCTCTCTCTCTCTCTCTCTCCCTCTCGCTGTCATAGTTCAGCCATTGTTGGGCATCCACGCAATGCCGCTCATTTCCCCTCAGACAAAGTTTCCTGCACGTCCAAAAGGATCCAAAAAGCAGAACGCAACGGGCTCGATGGCCCAAGAATCAACAAAAGAGACAGCCAAATGGCCAGGCAGGACACAGACAGACAAAAGACGGGACAATTGCGTAAAGGACACCCCGAAAATCTGCCAACAAACCCTTTGCCTCAGCGGGACAAAAACCTGGTGCGTATCGAAGTGCCCCTTGCGATCTTCAAACTGCCCTTGTGGGTCCGCCATAGCTCTCTCCGCCCTGCCCGGCAGCCTCAAATGGGCATGTGTCAAAGTGAGGGGTCGCCCCAAACCCGCGGTAACTATGCTGTGGTTTCAATTTTAGAAAAGGGTAATTACCGGGTACCCTCAAAAAGTCCCACACCCCCAAAATCGATGGCCCCTCCTCCGCCTGCATTTTGCTGCTGCTGCAGCCCATGACCCTCGCTTGGATCGAGCCTCTCGCGTTGTCGCTGGCTTGAGCCACGAACTGCCGAGCCGAGCCGCGTTTCGGAAACAGGTGAGCCCTATAAGGTCCACTGGGCCGGGAACAAGCATCTGCCCTGCAAAAGTGCCCTAAACATACACCATTACCACGCTTATGATTGCTTTATCCATATCTATACAAAGAGGCGCCAGGTGCAAGTAGCTCTCCCCTAAACAGCCAACTAGTCCACGAGTTGTTGCCTTGAGTTCGCGAATTGTGGCCTCCCGGAATGCAGACTATGCAGCCAAGACCCCTAAAGAAACAGTACCCCAAAAGCAGGTGGTGAAACAGACCCCCTTCATGTCCATCGCAGGCGGCTGGGCTTTTCCGCTCAGTAGTACACAGGCTCCAGTGCGGAGGAAGGCTCCAAAACCTCGGGGCTTTGGGAAACCGCACACCCACCTGAAGAGAGTGGTCAAAGAACTACCGAGCGCAGGTGGGTGCAGTTCATTGAAGGCAGCCCGGCCATGACCCCGACTACATCACTTGAAGTCAGATTCCCTTGGTATCACAGAAAGAGGCTTTGCAACCTCTGCAAAAGGCGAAGAAGCAATCGGCACTTCCCTAGCATTCGGCCCCTCCCGTATCACGAACATGAGGTCAGTCATGCCCCTTTGCAGGCCACTCCCCCCATTGCCCATGGTCCCATGTGGCTTAGGGTTTGTCTAGACCCCGTGTGAGTTGGGATGGCTCCAGTGGTGGGGTTGGCTTGTTTAGGCAGTATGGTGTGCTTAGGAATGTTGACACGCGCCCTGCACTGCTTCGACCATTGTTTCAACATGCCTTCGGGGATACTGCGGCCGGTTCAGACCCAGGGTCCTTCTGAATACCAGATATCTGCTGGCAACCAGGCAGCAAAGTTGTCGAAGAAGGCCTCGTGCCAACCTCGGACTGTTCCTACAGGAGAAGGGCGCTCGTCAGGCCGTGCCCAAAATGCTTCAGCCTACATTGCGGGCGTTCAGGCTGAATTGGACACCCAAGTCATCTTCTACATAAAGGCTCTGCTCGTGAAAAATGGGCAGCTTGGCCATCTGGCCACCGAGGAAGCTGGCGAAGATGGGCTAAAGGAATGAGCAGGCACTAAACCACAAGGTTTTACCAATAGATTGGAGGCAGGACCTCAATACGCATTCCAAGGGCTGAATCACTTGTGGGGCATGAGCTATGGTGAGGCTGTTATAAAGGGCAAAAGGACGTGGAGGGTTGTTTCTCTGGTTCGGGTATCCTCCGGGGCTCCCAGCCAGTAAGCCACATGGCATGGACCTCCACGACGGATCATTTTGACCAACCCGGCAGACCAACACGTGCTTCCCCAAGAAGGTCGCGCCCAATGATCGGACTCCCCAAGGCCCCAGGCCCGTCACAAGCGCCACCATGCCAGTGCTGTGCGCTGCATCAATGGCAACCACCTGGCAACGAGCACAGCTGAGTGAGATCTCGCAGTTGCCTTTCCCGAAAGGTGCAAGAAAGAACTGGAACCATTTCTTTTCGGAATTGACCAGGAGGAAACCACCAACAAATAGCATAGAAAAAGAGATGGAATCATGTCTGCTTGCCCCAATGGCTGACGTCCTCTGAACATCTACCAGCGACCTTCTGCAAGCTGCGTCGAAAACAGACCAAACACCCCCCCCTGACTCAGGCCAAACACCCCACCAAGATGGCAACCTAGCCGGGCCTGTCCCTCGGTCTCACCTGATGAAAGACATCCCACGGCTGGAGCTGCAACACACACCGCCCACCCGAAATGACAAGCCGGTCGCGGCACATGGGCGCAAAGCCGATGAACAGACGTCCAAGCCACATGATCAAGCAAGAAGAGCCCGCTGCCACCGCTTGAGCAACCAAGAACAAGGCGGAAGAAGGTATGCAAATAGAGATTCCCACCAAATGGCGCGCAGATGGGGTGAGGAGGAGGAGCAGGGTTCTGGACAGGAGCTGACACATGATTCGAATTCAAGAAGGGATCATTTGCCAAGGTCATTCAAGAAAAGCCCCAATGTGCAAGCCAATCACTACATTTGCCAGGGATACAGCCCTATCCAGATGTACAACCAACAAAACATCCTCTGTAAACTAGCTTGACTGGACGCCAACCAACTTGAAAGGAGAAGTTCAAGGAGCAATTGAACAGCGATGATGAGCAAGAAGAATTTTACAGTCAAAAGCAAAGCACTTCAACAACCAACACAGCAACCGAGTCAATATAGAACCGCAACAGGTGCCTGCATCAAAAGAAGAAGGCAGAGAGCCACAAACCAGAACAATCACAGGCACAGATCCGACAAAATATTCTATGGCCGGATGAATGTATTTTGTGCCAACAACCAAACTGCCCCAGCAAAAAAAACACCAAGCATCATGTCACGCCGCCCAAACACCAGATAGCCGACAAAATCTAGTCGCCATACTGGGCCGGTGCGCTTCCTGTTGTTGTCGTCACAGCGCAGGCCGTGTTGACAATTCTGTTGATCCCCTCAAAAGGAAAAAGGGACATACAAGCACAATAGCAGAAAGAATCACTTGAAAAGGGAGATGTGTCCTTTGTGGGATTGACGCGCAAAAAAAAACAAGCGCAGACAGACGAAGGCATACAGAACCAAACAGACGCGGACACGCGGAAAGAGAACACACAAAAAACACAAAAAAAGAGACCGAGACAGCAACCTGAAACATCCATCTCCCGTCCACGCAACAACATTCCTGCTGGATCAAATTGCCCCTAGTCCTATGGTCAGGCCCGAGACTCAGAAGCAAATATCGGCCAGCCTCTTCCCCGTCGACTCTTGCCTGACACGCGTGGGATGACAAAAGCTGCAAAGTACAGGCAAGACTTTGTGGTGTGACGGTATGCGTTGGGGTGTCTGCGTGTGCGTGCTGATTGAGTCAGTGTGTTGTGTTATTGGTGTGGGTGTCTCTGTGTTTGTTTGTTGGTGTTTGTGTCTGTGTGTGTGTGTGCTTGTGCTTGTCTGGGTGTGTATTTGTGTTTGCCTGTGTTTCTCTGTGTTTTGTGTGTTTTGTGTGTTTGTGTGCGCTTATGTGCGTGTGCGTGTGGCTGCGTTTATATGTATATCTATATATATATATATGTATACATATGTGTGTGTGTGTGGTGCTTGTGCGTGTTTCGTTGTGTGGTTGTGCGCGTGTGTCTTGTGTGTGTGCGTGTGCGTGTGCGTGTGCGTGTGTGTGTGTGTGTGGGTGCGCGTGCGCGTGTGCGTGCGCGTGTGCGTGCGCGTGTGCGTGTGCGTGTGCCTGTGCGTGTGGGTGTGTGTGTGTGTGGGTGTGGGTGTGTGCGTGTGTGGTTGTCTGTGCGTCTTTGTTTGAGAGTGTACTTGTTTACAAGTGTGTGTGTGTGTTTGCGTATGTGCGTGTGTGCGCGTGTGTGCGTGTGCGCGTGCGCGTGCGCGCGTGTGCGCGTCTGCGCGTGTGCACGTGTGCTCGTGTGCGTGTGCGCGCGTGTGTGTGCGCGTGTGCGCGTGTGCGCGTGCGCGCCTGTAAACGCGTGTGCGCGTGCGCACGTGCAGGCGTGCGCCCGTGCGCTTGTGCGCGCGTGCGCGCGTGTGGGCGCGCGCACGTGTGCACGTGTGCGCGTGCGGGCCGGTGCGAGCCGGGCGTGCGCGCGTCCGCGCACGGGTGCGGGTGCGTGTGTGGGTGCGTGTGTGGGTATGTGTGTGTGTGTTTGTGTGTATGTCTTCGTGTGTGGTTGTGTGGTGCTGTGTGTATGTCTTCGTCAGCGTGTGGTTGTGTGGTGCTTATGCTTGTGTGCTTGAGTCTGTGTGTGTTTTTGTGTTTGTATGTGAGAGTTGTCTGCGTGTGTGTGTGTGTGTGTGCGTGTGTGCGTGTGTGTGTGCTGTGTGGTGTGTGTGTGTGTGTGTGTGTGTGTGCGTGTGTTTGTTCGTGCGCGTGTGTGTGGTGTGGGCGTGTGTGCGTGTGTGTGTGTGTGTGTGGTGTGTGTGTTGTGTGTGTTGTGTTGTGTTGTGTTGTGTTGTGTTGTGTTGTGTTGTGTTGTGTTGTGTTGTGTTGTGTTGTGCTGTGTTGTGTTGTGTTGTGTTGTGTTGTGTTGTGTTGTGTTGTGTTGTGTTGTGTTGTGTTGTGTTGTGTTGTGTTGTGTTGTGTTGTGTTGTGTTGTGTTGTGTTGTGTTGTGTTGTGTTGTGTTGTGTTGTGTTGTGTTGTGTTGTGTGTGTGTGTGTATGTGTGTGGTGTGTGTGTGTGGTGTTTGTGTGTGTAGCTGTGTAGTTGTGTAGTTGTGTGTTTTGCGTGTGTGTGTGTAGTTGTGTAGTTGTGTAGTTGTGTAGTTGTGTAAGTTGTGTAGTGTTGTGCAGTTGTAGAGTTGTGGTGCTGTGTATTGCAGTTGTGTAGTTGTGTAGTTGTGTAGTTGTGTAGTTGTGTAGTTGTGTAGTTGTGTAGTTGTGTAGTTGTGTAGTTGTGTAGTTGTGTAGTTGTGTAGTTGTGTAGTTGTGTAGTTGTGTAGTTGTGTAGTTGTGTGCTTGTTTGTGAGCATGTTTTGATCGGGGCTCGGTGTGTGCTTGTGATTGTGTTTTTGCGCGCTTGTGTGTTTGCGGGTGTTTGTGTGTGTATGTGTGTGTTCGTGTGTGTGTGTGTGTGTTTGGGTGTGTGTGTGTGTGTTCGTGTGTGTGTGTGTGTGTTCGTGTGTGTGTGTGTGTTCGTGTGTGTGTGGTTGTGGTTGTGTGTTTTGGTGGTTGTGTGTGTGTGTCTGTGTATTTGCTTGTTTTGTTTATGTCTGTGTGTGCTTGTGTGTGCGTGTGTTTGTGTGTGTGTGTTTGTTTGTGCTTGTGTGTGTGTGTGTGTGGGTTTGTGTGGGTTTGTGTGTGTGTGTTTGTGTGTGTGTGCGTGCTTGTGCGGGGATTATGTTTGTGTGTATGTGTCTGTGTGTTTTTGTGTGTTGTTTTTGTGTGTTGTTTTTGTTGTTGTTGTTGT